GTATTATTGCTGTGGAGCTCTGTTATACACTCAGACACATTACTGGGAGTATTATTGCTGTGGAGCTCTGTTATACACTCAGACACTGCTGGAGCTCTGTTATACACTCAGACACATTACTGGGAGTATTATTGCTGTGGAGCTCTGTTATACACTCAGACACTACTGGAGTATTATTGCTGTGGAGCTCTGTTATACACTCAGACACATTACTGGGAGTATTATTACTGTGGAGCTTTGTTATACACTCAGACACATTACTGGGAGTATTATTACTGTGGAGCTCTGTTATACACTCAGACACATTACTGGAAGTATTATTACTGTGGAGCTCTGTTATACACTCAGACACACCAACAATATGGAGCTCCTAGAAGACATTCAAGGGCGAATTCCCATTATATGGCCACCGAGGTGGAATGCGGGAATGGGGCGGCACTGCTGGAACCCTGGATCGTGGTGGTAAAGAACGAGAGCTAGGGTGAGAAGAAGAATAGCTCTTTCCCCTTCTCGCCCGGCACCAGTGGCCACAGATCCTGACTTCCAGCCAGCAGCCAAAATTAGATCAAATGGAGAGGATGTCAGCATCCTCCGGTACCCCCTGCTGCCTGTGGGGGACAAAAGAGATAAAGAATTGTGTGGCCAGAGGGACAGAAGAGTGGAACAGGTGGAACATATTAAGGGATAAAGAAGAGTGGAACAAGTGAGGGATGGGGAGAAAGTAGAGGTTACAAGTGAGGGAAGGGAGAACAAGAAGAGGGGAAGAATTGGAGAAAGGGAGGGAGAGGGCATAATTATGGAAAGGGGAGAGGAAAACATAAGAGGGAGACATTAATGAATGAAGGGTTTTGAGAGATAAAATTGGGTAGATGGGAATTGGGAACACAGTGCACAAACACACCTACACATACACATGTAATACCTGTAAATGAACACTGCACACAGTAGCACCCTATAAAAATACACCACTATAAACTCTAGCAGGCCATGCGGGTGGTATCACTCGCCCCATCTCACGGGTTACTGAGGGTACTTTCTTCACACACTTTCAGGACCTGTCGGGAATTGGTGGACGTTGGGGAACTGCTTTGGTGGGGTTGGCCTGTGACCAGTTGACTGATATCTACAATTATTCATTTGCCACAACCAGCATGGGTTTAATAATGATATCTTTCCTTATTGGTGATGGCAGTGGTATAAACCTCTAATGTACTTTCCGGTGTGACCTACAGCTACTGTATGCACGGTGTGCTCCGAGCCTTCTTGATTCTGATGGGTAGTTGGGTGGGGGTCTGGGGGAGAGGTGGCTATTTGTCGCTCTCACATATGGGATTACCAGATATATGTCTATTGATTTCCGTTTAAGCATATTTTATTATTATTGATATTTAATCCTAACTTTTTCGGGAACTGCACGCCCTATTCTGTTGTTTACACTTCTCTTGTCAAATTCTCAAGAAAACTTGACGTACCAAAAAAATCCACACCACTATAGTCACACACTAGCACCCTATTCAAAAACATTGTCATTCACATGCATTCACTAACACTCCACACAAATATACTTCTAATTTGCAATTCAGCCACCCAACCAGCCTGGTAGTCCCCTATCCACCCAGTCACATAGAACCACCTTACATCCCAGTAATAGCCACTCACCCTGTCACATTCACACACTTGGCCACATAACTTGCCATCTACCTGCACCCAACATTGCAGTTATTGCAGTTTAACCACCCACCTAGTTATACTTACCATACAGTCATACCCCAAACTAGTCACATTCATTCATCCAATCACATACCCCAAACTAGTCATATCCATCCAATCACAAACCTCAAACTTGTCTTATCCATCCAATCACATACACTTAATTTTATATAGATGATATGTTGGGGAGCATTGAGGATACTGACCTTGGGAACATTAGGATAGAAAAGAGAGAGAGGGAATTGGGCCTAAAATAGGGACACTTGGGAGATATGCAGAGGGCTTATAACAGTTTGAAGTGCACTTTTTAGGAAAGTATAAGTGTCCGCTCTCATATGGGTGATTATCATTGTCCAAAGTAGAGCCATGAAACAAGAGATCAGGGTCGCTAAATCCATTATTAAGTAAAGAGATGAGGTTTCATGCAAGCAGACTGGATTGTTGTTGATTTTCTTTTGCAACAGAGCTTTACTTTATTCTGAGATCCCTGTAGGGACCTTGTGCCGCCCCGCACCTCTATTAAAGGCTAAACAGTGGCACAGATTTGAACCTTGTTATATTGAAAATTCCCTAAACAGTGAATTGTCAGGAATTCAAAATAAATTTCAAATTTTAAATAGCCAAACTGAAAAACGGAGCTGATTTTGAGAATTTCTTCCAATTTGTCTATTGTGTCCTAAAATTTTAAATTAATTTTGATTCTTGACAATTTAGTGAATAATGTCCTACTGTCATATCCCATTGTACAGCGCTACGGAATCTGATGGCGCAATATAAATAATAAAATAATAATAAATAACAATATCAATCTGTCCCATTACCAGCAGCAGCAGTAAATTGTTTGTACTAACTAACTAATTATATATATATATATCTTGTGTTTCCAACACAGAGACCAGCATTGGAGACAGAAGCCCCCCGTTGCCCCTCAGTGCAGGTAAATACATTACAATACCTCTGTTATTTAAAATGGACTAAATTCTCCGACACTTATTGCTAGTTTCATGCTAAGAGGTTTATTTACTAAACAGTAAATTTTACTGAAATGAACAAAATGTGCTGAAAATCACAGTTGAGCAATCTAGGCTAAAATAAGATTATAAATAGTAAATTCGTCCGATTAAATTATTTTAAAGGATCACTATAGTGTCAGGAAAACAAAGCGGTTTTCCTGACACTATAGTGCCCTAAGGGTGCCCCCACCCTCAGGGTCCCCCTCCTGTGGCGCTGAAGGGGTTAAAACCCCTTAAGCAGTTTACCTTAATCCAGCGCCGGACTCCCTCGGCGCTGTTGACCTCTCCTCTCACTCCGACATCAGCTCCCGAGTGGAGCGGAATGCGCATGCACGCGCATTCAGACTGTCCATAGGAAAGCATTTCTCAATGCTTTCCTATTGACACTGCGCGATGGATGCGAAATACGCATCCAGCGTCGCAGATACGCCTCTAGTGGCTGTCAAGAAGACAGCCACTAGAGGCTGGATTAACCCCTAATGTAAACATAGCAGTTTCTCTGAAACTGCTACGTTTACATCTGAAGGGTTAAAACCTGAGGGACCTGGCACCCAGACCACTTCATTGAGCTGAAGTGGTCTGGGTGACTTTAGTTTCCTTTAATTTTTTGTTGTTGAAACTTTGCAGTTTTAATTTTCTTGCCCCCACATCCGTATATGCATCAGAGGGTTTCTCTCAGCCTCATAAAACCACTACAGCCCACTAGTAGTTATAGTGCCCAAAGTTTTCCCAGTAGTCATTAGCCCTCTTACATGGGTCCCTGCCAGGTGCCAAGGGTCCTCTATGACAGTTGACGTGCATCTGGCTTCTCCAGAGCTAACAAAGCCGGATAACGATAATGACGTAAATTCATTGGCCGAGAGCGTCAGCTGACCTCTTTCAGTCAATGAATGACATTCTGCGCATGGATATATGCACAGAATTGCAATTAACCAGTCTGGAGGTGAAGTTAGACTTCCGGCAGGAATGGGGTTAAACTCCTTATTAACAGGCAAAACTCTGCATGTACAGACTCTGGGCACCATAACCACGTCAAATCACAGAAGTTGTCTTGGTGCTTTGAGTAACCCTTTAAGGTGCAGCGGCTGCATTATTGGCATGAGAGAATAAAATAGACTTGTCAAAATGCAAACCTGCAAGGTTTAATTGTAACAACCTGTTCAGAGTTTAACTAGGAACTGTAATTTCTCTGACTTTAGCACAACCAAAGAGCTAACTAAAGGTTATCTATTGGTTGCACCACAATTATTTATAGTTTTATTTATTTTAATTTTCATGCTTTGCTGGGCAACACAGTGCACAGTATGCATGTTTAAAGGGACATTCCAACTTTAGAAAATGAATTTAGTTATTTTTAACATTGGAAAACTTTGCTTTGAGAAGTGCTAAGTATTGCATTGAGCGATTGTCCAAATCAAGTGAGCAGGAGACCCTTCCTGTTGCTTGATTGACATCTGAGAGGGTGTTAGTAATGCCATTTATAAAAATGCTGATTTCTCTCAAAAATTTCACTTTTATAAAACACGACAGAGGGGACCAACAGTTGGCCACATGCGATCTACAATTCCTGTTAGCCCCCCTCCCTTTATATCTAATGTAGCCCAGAGGTCTCAAACCTCTAATACCAGCTTCGTTACAAAATCAGAAATAGGTTCATCATCGACATTTCCCTATCTACTTCTATATACAGCCAAGTATTATTAAAAAGGCTATTCAAAGAAAAATAAAATATTACTTACCAATACCATCACCGATATAGGCTATCATTCTCACCCAATACACGTCTAACAAAATGTAAAACAAACAAAATAATTAAAATCGTATGGAAACAAATAGAAAAAATAACTATACATAAATTAACGAGTACCCTACATCATTTATATGCTTATCCATTAACCCTACCATCTGGAGTCCGACTCCTAAGACAACCACCTAGACCAAAGCCAGTCACTTATATCAGCCAATCACAATGCAGTATCTCAGCAAACAGAATATATCCTCAGCTGAGTTCACTCATTGACTTGAAGCGGGATTTGTCTAACAGAGCATATCAGAATCCCTGATATATTTCTATAAGGCTAAGCAAAGAGGAACGTGTAAAAAGCTTAACATATAGCTATTGTAAATCTTTCTAATGAAAAAAGGATTGGAAGTAAAATCCAATGTGTGTCCCTTTAAGATCAGATAATCCCAGAGCTCTTATCCTGTCCGTGCCTTAAGCCGTTCATAAGCCTTTTTACTGTTACCGACTTTGCTCCATTCTGCTCCCTTTCAAGGATGTCACAGGAGTTGTGGATGTGGGCAAAATATCAGGTCCTCTCCTCTCTGAGGCTGCCGTTCGCTATCGGAGCCATGCTACCTGCTGTTAAGAAAGGTAATTAAGGTAGACATTCTTTTACATTTATTTCTTTCATCCATCAACCCTTTTCACAATAGGATTGCTAAATCGAGTTTTCAACTATATTCACAACTGGGAACTTACAGGATTTGCCACAGAACTCTGGGCTTGGCATCTCTACTTTTTGCATGTCTACTCTGTGAATGATCAGCCTTAACACCTCATATTTTGGGCTCCTGGAACTTGAGATGTAATTCTTTGTACATCTTAAACACCTTAAAGGACCACTATAGTGCCAGGAAAACAAACTCGTTTTCCTGGCACTATAGGGTCTTTAGGTCCCCCGCACCCTCAGGGTCCCACTCCCGCTTGGCCAGAAGGGAGCTGAAGGGGTTAAACACTTACCTTTCTCCAATGGGCACCCTCTGCGCTGGGGAACTCTCCTCCCTCTGCCGACGTCAGGAGCCGCGCAAGCACATTCAAACAGTCCATAGGAAAGCATTACTTAATGCTTTCCTATGGACGTCAGCGTCTTCTCACTGTGATTTTTCACAGTGAGAAACGCGGAAGCACCTATAGCGGCTGTCAGTGAGACAGCTACTAGAGGCTGGAATAACCCTAGTGTAAACATAGCAGTTTTTCTGAAACTGATATGTTTACAGCTGCAGGGTTAAAACTTGATGGACCTGGCACCCAGACCACTTAATTGAGCTGAAGTGGTCTGGGTGCCTATAGTGGTCCTTTAAGCACCATATTCATGTCATAAAGGTGGATACATGATGGAGGGAGTTTTAAAAAAACAAACGCACATTATGGAATATAGCTTGGTGGGCTGAAAGAAGGGAGGGAAGGTACATTGAAGACCCCTTTGCAGGCGCACTACCAACACTGCTTTCAATGGTAGAAGCTCCTTATGTGTCACCAGCACAGAGTATGTGCTAACAACAGACTTCAGTTTTGCACAGTTTTAACATTAGGCAGCCTGGAACAGAGTTTCGGCTGCCTTAGTCATGTGTACTGGGGGAGTGAAGGAACCCTGCACATACAGATTACCAACACAATAACCACTTCTAAAAGCAGGTGGCCATAGTGGTTGGAGTAACCCTATAAAATCAAGTGCAATTAAATGGGAACTGTCACTTATATGGAAATTACATCATTATAATAATAAATGAAAGTTACCTACAACTTGTACTAACATTTTTAATGTGATGCTCAATTTTCCTTTTATTATAGAGGTAGCAAATGAACCCTTAATCAAGTTCAGACAAGGTCATAGCCAAGGTACATATTGCATTTGAAGAGGATAAGTAGAAACATTGTTTAATTTTTCCGCTTCTCTGTCAAGGTTATTCAATAAAGTTATGATTTCAAAGTGAATTTCAAATTTAAAGGTACACTATAGTCACCAAAACAACTTTAGCTTAAAGGGACACTATAGTCACCTGAACAACTTCAGCTTAGTGGGGTTGTTCAGGTGAAAACTATAGCTCCCTGCAGCCTCTCTCATGTAAACACTGTATTTTCTGAGAAAATACAGTGTTTACATTGAAAACTAGGAACACCTCCAGTTGCAGTCACTCAGAGTGAACCAGAGGGACTTCGGAGTTGATGGAGGTATAATATGCCTCCATCCACTCAGATCTGCTGTCAGCAGAGCACAGGGCAGCTCTGTGCACAGCATCCTGTGAGTCAGTATCTCCTCCCTCTGCATGCAGAGGGATTTAATTCATCTTTATGAGGAGATGCTAATTGGCCAGGGCTGTGTTTGAATCATGCTGGCTCTGCCCCTGATCTGTCTCTTTGTCAGTCTCAGCCAATCCTATGGGGGAAGCACTGTGATTGGATCAGGCTACCACATGTCAGCAGACTGCTTGTTTTTCTGAGTCTAACAGAATGCAGATTTACAGCTTCAGGCTTGAATACAGTAAGATTTTTACTATATTTATGGAGGCATGAGGGGCCCAGGGTGGCTAGATGGTGGTGTTAACACTATAGGGTCAGGAATTCATGTTTTTGTTCCTGGCCCTATAGTGATCCTTTAATGCAGACTGTGTAAGTCACAGCCAGGGGAGGTGTTTGCACCTATGTACTAATACACAACTATGTTTTGGGGTCTCCCTTGTCTTAGTTTTCTGTTTTCAATCATAAGGGGGGTTAAGGTAACACTCAAAATTGATGTTACATTGTTATATTTTTTATATCACGTACCAGGCTGGATTGCTGATATCTGTTTCTCTTACACAGCTTCAGGTAAAGAAGTGACTAACGACACAAGTTCTACATTTCCGAAATCGAATCCTTCGTGTAAACAAGATTACCCCATGAAGTCATCTCGCACACATCAGGAACTGCACAAGGAGTTGCTGCTCACTTACAACAAGTAGGTTCACAAACATGTATGAAAAAAAGCATGTTAGCCCTTAAAAGGACATTCTAAGCCCAAAAAAGAATATATTTTAAAGACCCACTCCAAGCACCATAACAACTGCAGAGTAATTTGTCAGAACATTTTAGAATGGTTTTGCGACTTACCCGGGTCCTGCTGTAGAAAAATCTCAGCTCCACTGAGATGATTGGGGTTGTGCAGGGCTGAAAATGTGCGGTCCTCTATCAGACCTTCTTAGTTGAATGAAGATGCCCAGCAGGAAAGGGCAAATGTGGCACAGGCACTCAGGGGACCCAGGTAAATGGTCAAATGGTTCTGAAATAAAGAGGATGCCAGGGCACATCTGGAACAAGAACTGTCATGAACACCATCACTCGCAGGCGGGCACGTCACTTGCTTCAGTGGGTGAAAAGGTTAAAAATCACTGTTTGTCTCCACTGGAATTAAAATAATGATTAAAAAAAATCCCTCATTACCACCACCAACTATTCTAGTATAAAAACTGCTACCACCAAGACAATTTAGTAATGGGGCGTCTTGGAAAAAAAACCTAAACAGTTTTGTTTTCCTGACACTATAGTGATCCTTTAACCAAAACAATCATTTTCCTATATAGGCCTTGATTGAATTAGTTTGAATCAGAAATTCTTCCATTCTGTTACAAAATAAAAACTTCAAATTATTTCCCATAGACTTTACTGTAGATGAATCATTTGAAAAGTTTTTTTTCTAACAGAATGGAAGGATTTCTGATTCTGATTCCAAAGAATTAAAGCGAAAATGCCCCAAAAGAAAATAGAATCTAAAAATCACATCCAAACTGTAAGGGAATGACACTTCATTGAACAAACAATACATATTGTAAAATAGGCCTTAATTTACGTCTCTTTCCTGTGGGTTGGCAGATACATCATTGTTCTAGTCTAGTTAAAGGCAGCCAAATTAACATTTACCATGCTGTAATCAATCATACCACCTCTACTGGGTAACCATTCTATGCATTCACTATACACATCACATTAGCTAACAATATTTTCACAATGAAACAATGAATACACAGTACATTGCAATATTCTTTTTTTTTACCAGGAACAATGAATCACTGAAGGCTGTTAGTGAAGCATATTCTAGAAAGATACTACACAGACATCCCTAGGGACCCGCATCCCGTAACTCGGACTCTGTATGAGAGTACTGTCTCCACCTCCCAGTTGGTGGTCCTAAGGGTGCAGGAAGAGTACCAGCTGCGGTGTTTCGAACACAAAAAATTATTTTATATTGGATTTATGTTTACATTATTCCTTTTAAAGGATCACTAAAGGCACTCAGACCATTTTATTGCAAATTTTAACCCTGCAATGTAAAACATTGTTGTGTAGTAGATATGGCATAGCAGGATTAAATACGCCTGTGGTGGCTTTCTTCCTGACACCCGCTAGAGGCACTTCTACTCTGAGAAACAGCTAACCTCCATTTGATTGGAAGAGAGCAGTGTTGGCCGCGTGTGCACTTTTAATCCCCAGTTCTCCTCTATGAGGAGCATTGGATTGGGCAAGAGAGAAGAGCTAGTGTGACATTGCAGGAGGCAGATTGAGTGCAGAGGAATGGACTTGATCCGGCGCTGTGAAAAAAGGTAAGAACACTATAGCCTTAGTAATACAGGTTTGTGTAGAGTTCCTTTAATTTATTTAATCGCTACCACTTATCATTCTTCCTTCCAACCCTATACACGTCTTATCTACCCTCCCAGGGGCCTTGTCCTTCATAGCAAACCTGAACTGTTGCGAGTTTTGGAAAAACGAAGGTCTCAGTGGAAAGAGGGACAGGAAGACACCAAACAGATTTCCTCGCCCCTGGAGCAGGAGTTGCAAAAATGGCAGCAAAGGAGGGAAGAGGTAAATTGAGTGATGTGACAAAACCAGAACCAGTATAATTACTTCCTGCCCAGGGCCAGTGGAAGAAGTTTTGCTGCAAGACACAAACTCATTTTCATCCACCTTGGTGGCCCTCTGATAACTGTAATAGATGTGCTTTTCTGAATTTTTAATAATGCACCCTGTAGGACTGTGTAGATGGTTGATGTGCTGTGATTCCAGGAATGTATCTGTGCGAAGTACCTATGAATGACAATGTAGGAAACATTGGAATGGATTGAATATGTATGGAGATAAAAGAGTGTATTTGTGGAAAGTATGTGTGTTCATGGGTATATTTGTGTGGACGGTTAGTGTGTATTTGTGTGTGTGAAAAGAGTGTGTATTGGTGTCGAAGGTTAAAGTGTACATGTGTGTGAATGCAGGGGTGTATTTGTGGGGAAGTTTAGTATGTCTCTGTGCGTGAATGTGCTGGTGTACTGATGTGGAGGGTTAGTGTGTACATGTGTGTGAATGTAGGGGTGTATTTGTGTGGAAGATTAATATGTCTCATTTACAAGGTATAAATTTAGTCACAAATTACACAATGTGTAATTATACTGAACATAGTTATGGAGTTACTAAACAAAGCAAAGTCACAATTACCTCAATTACCTACTAAGGCCTACATATAACATTGAGACAAGCTGTGCTCTATAAATATAGTTTATTTGTTATGTAGAATTAAAAGGCAAAAGGAACTCAAGAGAACAATAATAGGGATATAAGTTAGTGGGTTTGGGCTATATGGGTGGACATGACCCTTTTCGATTCTCAACTGATATCACCTCAGTATCACTATTAGGCTTTGCAGTGCCTCTTGTTTATGTGTTAAGATATTATAAACATTTACAGTTACAGCTTACTGAGAAGTTAACGTTGGTAAATTTCCCCTGTGTTCCCCTCGTCACTAGTTTTTCGATGAATTTGTTCCATATCGTGAATGCCTCTCAAATCGCCCTCCTTATCTGGAACTGGTCCAAGACCATCTTCTCATGTTTAAAATTCCAAGAAACTTGAGAAATAAATTTTGATATTTTGGGGGAAATTTTCAAAAATCTATTTTTTTAGCTATAGCAGCAGTCAAAATTTTGAATATTATTTTTGAAATTGATGTGGGCCAGTCTTCTCGTAGGATGAAGAGAAGGAACATTTCTTTTAATGGTTCCAGTAGGAACCCTGCAACCATAGAGATCAGTTTAGCTAACTCTTTCTAGAAAGGGGTTAGCGAATAGCAAGTACCCCAGACGCAGAGCACGGTGCCCACAGCCGTCTGACACTTCCAACAGATCTTGCTAGAGGTAGGGAACATCCTTGCCAATTTCACTGGTACTAAATACCAACGTTAAATAATTTTCTGAATTATTAATAAATATGTAGCACATGCCTTGAGCCCTTTAGCATGGGGAAATTTGAGTGATGGGTAAATGTGTTTTTGTGTGTATGTGAATGCAGAGGTGTATTGGTGTGTCATTTGTTGCTTATTTTCTTTTGTAATATCTGATCTCCCCAATCTAGGAAGTAAGGTGGGGATGGTACAGTGTTCCTCCTGGTTTTACCATCACAACACAAGTTTTCCGTGGGCAACTCTTGGTTGATTGTTTATCATCAGATAATGTTCTGCAAGACTAGCCTTGACAGAACAAATGAAGTCAGCAGGCACAGGGATATCTCATATTAACTAACAAAAATAATTTATTTATTTTTTTTGCAGAGGGAACATGCATCTTCGATAAAAAACGACAAGTCTGGAGTGCATGAGTTCCTGCGCGTGAGAGAAAATCTTCGTAAATCTGCAACAAGGGACACGGAAAACCCTCCGTCCCCTGCCAGCTGAACACCCTCATTAATAATCCCCTCACAGACTCAAGATTTATGTCTCCGTATTCATCAAGGGAGTCCGTGCAGATCTTTTGCTACAGAACATTGTGTTCCAAGGACTGGGAAGGCTCCAAGGCCTAGCAGAGCAACGTTCATTGTCACTAACACAATATCACTGTCGATATTCTTCACTGCAGTACGACCCCATCCCAAAGCTCTGCACATCATTATTTTATATCTTCTTACCTGCCGACCATTTGATTTATCCATAGGAGCCAACACAAATTGTATTTTACCCGCTGTCCCAATATCACAGCATTATCATTTAACCCCATCACTGCCAGACATGTGTAAAACATTGCCATATAAACAATGAAAACTATATCAGTTTTTCTTAACAGATCGCTAGGGTAAAATAATCTGCAAATCTATTTCACTGCCCGGCATGATGCATCATTTACAAGCAGCCATGATAAAGAATACTCCAAGCATCATAATCTCTACAATCCACTGTAGTGGTTATGGTGTCAGGTGCGCCATAGTGCCTTCCCACGATAAGTAGTCAAGCCGTTTGCAAACAGCTAGACAAATTATTTGGGGTCCACCAGGCTGCCTCTTCTTCTTTCCCTGGAATTGCACTGAGCTAGCCTGGTGGTGCAGGGAGACGCTCATTGACTGAGAACGTTCACGTGACACAATCTCAGCCAATAAGCTGCATGGCAGGGCTTAGCTTATTGGAGCTAATAGAAGCACCATGAATGAACTATCAGCTCTGAACTATCAGCTCTACTAGAGGCTGTGACTGGAGCCTAGAGCACTCAAGGTAAGTTATAAAACAGTTCGCAAATGAGCTGTAGTGGTTATGGTGATTGGCGTGTTTCTTCAATAAGAAAAATGGTTATCCTTCCCAGCTGTTATACTCTCCTTTCCTGTCATAAAATGTAATGTAATTACACATTAAAATATGGATAAAAGTGTATTTGATAACCCTTCCTGTTTGGTGGTATTACTCAGAAAGGATTCACTGAAGAATGAATAGTGAGGAAAGTAGTTAAAGGAACGCCATAGAGTTAGAAATACAAAACTGTATCCCTAACACTATAGTGTCCCTCTGCAATTAATATAGGTGTGCGCAGCCTATTGCATTAGGGTGTGCACCCTAAAGCACAAACACACGCTGCATGTGTGTATATATATATATATATACATACATACACACACATACATATACTGCTGTTTGTGTGTGTGTGTGTGCTGTTAGTGCGCTGTGTGAGGGTGCTGTGTGTGTGTGAGGGTGCTGTTAGTGTGATATGTGTGTGAGGGTGTTGGTAGTGAGCTATGTGGGGAGGGTGCTGGTAGTGTGCTGTGTGTGAGGGTGCTGTTTGTGTGCTGTGTGGGAGGGTGTTTGTGTATGTGTGTTAGGGTCCTGTTAGTGTGCTGTGTGTGTGAGGGTGCTGTTTGTGTGATATGTGTGTGTGAGGGTGCTGTTTGTGTCATGTGTTTGTGAGGGTGCTGTTAGTGTGCTGTGTGTGTTTGTGAGGGTGCTGTTAATGTGCTGTATGTGAGGGTGTTGTGTGTTTGTGAGGGTGCTGTTAGTGTGCTGTGTGTGAGGGTGCTGTATGTGTGTGGGTGCTGTTTGTGTGCTGTCTGTGTGCTGTGTATGTGAGGGTGCTGTGTGTGCGTGCTGTGTGTGTGAGGGTGCTGTTAGTGTGATATGTGTGTGAGGGTGCTGTTTGTGTCGTGTGTTTGTGAGGGTGCTGTTAGGGTGCTGTGTGTGAGGGTGCTGTGTGTGTGTGTGAGGGTGCTGTGTGCTGTGTGTGGGGTGCTGTGTGTGTTTGTGGGGTGCTGTTAGTGTGCTGTGTGTGAGGGTGATGTATGTGTGTGGGTGCTGTTTGTGTGCTGTGTGTGTGAGGGTGCAGTTTGTGTGCTGTGTATGTGAGGGTGCTGTGTGTGCGCGCTGTGTGTGAGGGTGCTGTTTGTGTGATATGTGTGTGAAGGTGTTGGTAGTGAGCTTTGTGAGTGAGGGTGCTGGTAGTGTGCTGTGTGTGAGGGTGCTGTTTGTGTGCTGTGTGTGAGGGTGCTGGTAGTGTGCTGTGTGTGAGGGTGTTTGTGTGTTAGGGTCCTGTTAGTGTGCTGTGTGTGTGATATGTGTGTGTGAGGGAGCTATTTGTGAGTGTGCTGTTTGTGAGGGTGCTGTTAGTGTGCTGTGTGTGAGGGTGCTGTGTGGGATCCTTGCTGTCCAATGGAGAGTGAACTCTAGCCTGCGGGGCTAGAGTTCACTCTTGCGAGATTTGAGCATTGCCACGGAGGAACCTGGCAGACAGGGCCGGACTGGGAAAAAAATTAGGCCCGGGCATTTTTTTATCACAGCAGCCCACTAAGAAGGGGGCGGGGCAGAGAGGGTGTGTTTTGTCATCACTCATGACAAACACGCCCCCTCTCAAAGTGAGCATGTTGGTTCAATGCTCTTCCAGGGCAGACCATGCACAGAGCTCTGCTGAAGAGCTCTAGCATGAGAAAAAAGCCCTGTATTTGTTCTGCACAGTGCAAGCAAATTTAATAACATGCTTGCACTGTGTTTCCTTGCAACTTGTCTCTGGTGTCTCTATAAATGGATACCAGGAGACAAAAGGGCCAGGAAAGAGTATTGTGCATGTGTTTGGAGCCTGCTTGGGGTATTGCGTGTGTGCAGAGTGAGCTGGTCATGGTGTGGTATTGTGTAATAAGGTCGGTTTAAGTCGTGTTGTGTTTGTGGTGTAATGTAATGCATATGTGGCTAGGGGCTTTAGAGAATGTGTGTTTAGGGGATGTAGCAAGTGTGTGTATACAGGCTATAGTGTGTGTGTGTGTGTAGGTGATGTAATGTTTGTAGAGAGTGTGTGTTCAGGGAATGTAGTATGTGTCTGCTTACAAGGAATCTAGTGTGCGTATAGGGAATCCAGAGTGTGTGTGTTTGAAGGACCCAGAATATGTATAGGAGATCTAGTGAGCGTGCGTATATAATGGATTCAGAGTGTATATCGGGATCTAGTGTGTGTATGCAGGCCCGGACTGGCCATCGGGCACACCGGGCAAATGCCCGGTGGGCCGCGATGGCCGTGGGGCCGAGGCCGGCAGGGGTGGTCCCAGGACATGCCCTCCCGGTCTATGCAGGGCCGGCACTATCCTAGCGCCGGCCCCGTTGTCTTCCATGGAGGGCCAGTGGGGAGATCAAAGATCTCCCTCACCGGCCCATTTAAACAGACCTGCGGCTGGGGAGGGAGGGAGAGGACCCGGCGGAGCTCTATCTTGCAGCTCCGCCGGGCTCCTCTCGCGAGATCCGGCGCGTTGCCATGACAAGGCCCCGATCTCGCAAGAGTGAACTCTAGCCCTCAGGTTAGAGTTCACTCACCACTGGACCACCAGGGATGATGTGAGTGTGCCGGTCCCCCTCCTCCCAGCTACCACGTGCCTGTCCCCCCCTCCCAGGCTAAAGGTAAGAGGGAGGGGGGGATTTAATGCCTACTTAGGTTTTTATTATTTCTTTATTTACCCCCCCCTTAGTTTTTTATTTACCCCCCCAACACACATTTATACACAGCACTCTCACACACATCATACACAGCACTCTCATACACAGCACTCTCACACTCATCACACTCTGCACTCTCACACACATCACACTCTGCACTCTCACACACATCATACACAGCACTCTCACACACATCATACACAGCACTCTCACACTCAGCACTCTCACACACATCATACACAGCACTATCACACACATCACACTTAGCACTCTCACACACATCATACACAGCACTCACACACATCACACTCAGCACTCTCCCACACATCATACACAGCACTCTCACACACATCACACTCAGCACTCTCACACACATCATACACAGCACTCTCACACACATCATACATAGCACCCAAACACACACAGCACCCTCACACAAATCAATCACATACAGCACACACACAGCACCCTCACAGAGCACCCACACCTCACACACACATACTGCACCCCTCACATACACACACAACCCCCCGATACACTGCATCACACACATACACAATACTTCCAAACATATTTATATAATATATATATACACATATAAATATACACACAGCACCCCTCACACACACACACAGCACCCCTAAACACATTTCATTCCAGACACACACTAGATCCTCTACCCAACTCTGGATCATCTACACACATACACACACTAGATCCCGATATACACTCTGAATCCATTATATACGCACGCTCACTAGATCTCCTATACATATTCTGGGTCCTTCAAACACATACACACTCTGGATTCCCTATACGCACACTAGATTCCTTGTAAGCAGACACATACTACATTCCCTGAACACACACTCTCTACAAACACTACATCACCTACACACACACACACACACTATAGCCTGTATACACACACTTGCTACATCCCCTAAACACACATTCTCTAAAGCCCCTAGCCACATATGCATTACATTACACCACAAACACAACACGACTAAAACCGACCTTATTACACAATACCACACCACGACCAGCTCACTCTGCACACACGCAATACCCCAAGCAGGCTCCAAACACATGCACAATACTCTTTCCTGGCCCTTTTGTCTCCTGGTATCCATTTATAGAGACACCAGAGACAAGTTGCAAGGAAACACAGTGCAAGCATGTTATTAAATTTGCTTGCACTGCGCAGAACAAATACAGGGCTTTTTTCTCATAGAGCTCTTCAGCAGAGCTCTGTGCATGGTCTGCCCTGGAAGAGCATTGAACCAACATGCTCACTTTGAGAGGGGGCGTGTTTGTCATGAGTGATGACAAAACACACCCTCTCTGCCCCGCCCCCTTCTTAGTGGGCCGCTGTGATAAAAAAATGCCCGGGCTTAATTTTTTTCCCAGTCCGGCCCTGTGTGTATGTGTGTAGATGATCCAGAGTTGGGTAGAGGATCTAGTGTGTGTCTGGAATGAAATGTGTTTAGGGGTGCTGTGTGTGTGTGTGAGGGGTGCTGTGTGTATATTTATATGTGTATATATATATTATATAAATATGTTTGGAAGTATTGTGTATGTGTGTGATGCAGTGTATCGGGGGGTTGTGTGTGTATGTGAGGGGTGCAGTATGTGTGTGTGAGGTGTGGGTGCTCTGTGAGGGTGCTGTGTGTGTGCTGTATGTGATTGATTTGTGTGAGGGTGCTGTGTGTGTTTGGGTGCTATGTATGATGTGTGTGAGTGCTGAGTGTGAGAGTGCTGTGTATGATGTGTGTGAGAGTGCTGTGTATGATGTGTGTGAGAGTGCTGAGGTGTGGGGAAGTGCTGTGTAGTGTGTGTGAGTGCAGAGTGTGATGTGTGTGAGAGTGCTGTGTGATGTGTGTATGATGTGTGTGTGAGAGTGCTGTGTATGATGTGTGTGGGAGTGCTGAGTGTGATGTGTGTGAGGTACTTTGTGTGTGATGTGTGTGAGAGGTGCTGTGTATGATGTGTGTGAGAGTGCTGAGTGTGAAGGTGCTGTGTGATGTGTGTGAGGTGCTGGAGTGTGATGTGTGTGATAGTGCTGTGTATGATGAGTGTGAGAGTGCTGTGTGTGAGAGTGCAGAGTGTGATGAGTGTGAGAGTGCTGTGTGTGAGAGTGCAGAGTGTGATGAGTGTGAGAGTGCTGTGTATGATGTGTGTGAGTGCAGAGTGTGATGAGTGTGAGAGTGCTGTGTATGAGAGTGCTGTGTATGATGTGTGTGAGAGTGCTGTGTATGATGTGTGTGAGAGTGCTGTGTATAAATGTGTGTTGGGGGGGTAAATAAAAAACTAAGGGGGGGTAAATAAAGAAATAAAAAAAACCTAAGTAGGCATTAAATCCCCCCCTCCCTCTTACCTTTAGCCTGGGAGGGGGGGACAGGCACGTGGTAGCTGGGAGGAGGGGGACCGGCACACTCACATCATCCCTGGTGGTCCAGTGGTGAGTGAACTCTAACCTGAGGGCTAGAGTTCACTCTTGCGAGATCGGGGCGTTGTCATGGCAACGCGCCGGATCTCGCGAGAGGAGCCCGGCGGAGCTGCAAGATAGAGCTTCGCCGGGTCCTCTCCCTCCCTCCCCAGCCGCAGGTCTGTTTAAATGGGCCGGTGAGGGAGATCTTTGATCTCCCCACCGGCCCTCCATGGCAAACAGCGGGGCCGGCGCTCGGATAGTGCCGGCCCTGCATGGACCGGCAGGGGATGTCCTGGGACCTCCCCTGCCGGCCTCGGCCCATGGCCACCGCGGCCCACCGGGCATTTGCCCGGTGTGCCCGATGGCCAGTCCGGGCCTGCTGGCGGAGCTTCTGTCTAGAGCTCCCCGGGTCCTCTCCTGCCTCCCTCCATGCTGCTGTGGACTGGTGAGGTAGATCTTTGATCTCCCCGCCAGCCCATGGAGGCTTAGAGCAGAGCCGGCACTCAGATAGCGCCAGCTCTGCATGAGCCAGCAGGGGTCAAGTCCTGGGGAATAAAGTGTGGGAACTCTCTCAAGATTCCCATCCACCCAAAAAATAATATACACTCATGTATATATATATATATATATATATATATATATATACGCGTGCACATATATACACTCACACACACACACTCAGACACACACTTACAGACACACACACATACATTCACATACACACACTCACACACACACATACTTACAAACACACACACTTACAGAAACATACACTCACAGACACACATACATTCACAGACACACACACACAAACTTACAGGCACACACACATACATTCACAGACACACATACATTCACAGACACACACTCACACACATACATTCACAGACACACACACACACTTACAGACACATACACACTCACTCACAGACAAACACATACATTCACAGACACACACACATACACTCACAGACACACACACATACATACTTACAGATACATACACTCACAGACACACACACATACATTCACAGACACACATACACACTCACAGACACTCACACACAGACACACACACATTCACAAATTATTATTTTTTTAATTAAAAATTGTCCACCCAGCCTGGAGAGCTGGCGTGGACTTGTCCCTGGGGTCCAGTGGGTCGGGCGCCTATCTCCATACAACAAGCGGCGAGGGAGCTGTGTGCTCTCTGCTCCCTTGCACCGCGCGGGCTGTCTGCTTTAGTTGGGAGCCGGAATATGACGTCATATTCCGGATCCCGCCATCAGCAAACGGTGCGCGGCAAGAGGAAGCAGAGAGCACACAGCTCCCTCGCCGCTTGTTGTATGGAGATAGGTGCCTGACAGGGGGGGGGGGGGTGTCGGGGTCCATCACCTCTTGCTCCCCCCCATGACAGGGGGGAAACGGGGAGGGAGGAGGGCATTTGGGGGCAGCAGAGTGCCTGCAGGAACAGCGGGAACGGCGTTCCCACGCATTCCTGCAGGACTCACAGGCGTGCCGCGGGGATTAGGGTGTGCCCAGGCACACTCTGTGCGCACGCCTATGGCAATTAACTATAGCCCCCCAACTTGGTGATTAAAGGGTTAAAACTCCTTTTTTTCACTTAATTCTTTTTGATGTTCCTTTGGTGCTGGCTCTGTCTCCTCCTCCTCCAATGTCACACCGATGGTGGAACTTAATTTCCAAGTGCATTAGGCCTTCCCCATAGGAAAGTACTGAATCAATGCTTTCCTATGGGGATTTTTTTTTTTTAAAGCGTTGGACGTCATCATTCAAAGCCAGGCAGCGCCTCTAGTGCTGTCTGGGAGGCATCAGTGACATCACCTCCTAGTGCTGATTTGCCAGGAGCAGAAGAGCACCGGCAGTAAAAACATGGCAGCCCTGTGAAGTTCAGGTATAGATAAGTTAAACTCACCTTTGCCTGCCTCCCCCCCATCCCAAATAATGCCAAGTCCCTTGACGGTGAGAGTGCTGCTTTGACCCTGTTTCTCTGAAACTGTAAAGTTTTAAATTGCAAGTTTAAGGGGAGAGGAGCACTGCACTTAAACCACTTCAATGGTCTGAGAGCCTGTGAAGTGACACTCAACTGCCCAAGTAAAATAAATACATAATATATATCACTGTTTAGTAGATATCCCCCAATTAAAAACATGCACACATATATTTATACATTTTTTCATTGCAGGTATATTTTAAAACAGCTTGTTAAAGCTGCAGATTTCTTGTATGCAGCATTTGCAAGCCCTCCCCTTTAAACCCCACCCAGACTTTTTGTGTCTGTCCAATCACAGACTTCCCAATGTAGCTCAATGCAAGCATGTACTCTGAGCAATTGCTGCCTCTTGAGTTTAACTCCACTTAGCTAACCAAACCAGGAAGGAACAGGACCTGCTAGCCAGGGGGTGTAACCAGGTTAATTTTTAAAAGTGACAATTTCTATTGAAATCTGACTGTTTTGTAAAATGAAAAAAGAGGGCACACTCTTCACACATAAAGCATTTCACCAAGCTAAAGTGCTTTAAGGGTCCGGTGTCTCTTTAAGCTGAGAACGTAAGCTGACCTTGGCATTTTTAAATTTAAATTTCACTTTGATTTCCTAAAAATGTACACTTAAATGAATGATCCTGTCGGTTTTTGTTTATTCCTGCACATACTGGGGGTTAAAGTCTATTCTGTCATTAATGGTTTTGTTACAGTTTTACTCTGCCATAACTTTCCAGTACACAGATCACTTCATGGGTCAGCCTGCATCTTCCTCAATCAACTGTGAATCTGTTACTCTCATTAGGGAAATGGATCACATGATATAGTCAGCTGACTCTGCTGTTTTCCTGACTCAGTTACTTGAATCTGTGCAAACAGTGGACACAAGACATTAGATACAGTATAGCACAGGAGCTGATACACAGTGTTCTAGATCTATTAGAATGCATAGATTATAGGCATTGAGATCTGTTTTTCAGATTTACTAGAGGAGGTGGATTGAGTATTGAAGGTTAAAGTTTGAGGTTACTAAGGGTGAGACGAGGATGAGTTATAAGGAACGTCTGCAGACTTGGAGAGATCGGATGAGCGAAGAGCTGGACAGGGTCATGAATTTCTGGATCCAACACTCACACGACGAGGAATATGGGTAAATGTGCCTTAGTTGCCCCTGTGCTCACAATACGGTTGGGGTGTATATTTTAACAATGGTGGGTAGATCGTTGGATTTTATTTATGTAGAGATCACCCAGTCATTGGGTTATTCAGGATAACAAGACTTGTGGAAAATTGAGAACACAATTATAAGTTTCAGGCTAAAATATGCAAGACGGAAAAATGGCAGTCTTTTTTGTATTAGATGCTATTCCAATTTGGTTACGTTTGTCCTAAAATTTGCACTTCTCCTGTTGATGTTTAACGTTTGATAGTTTAGAGAATGTTCCTGTTAAAGGGACAATATAGGCACCATAACCACTTTTAGCATAATAGAGTGGTTATGGTTCTACAACCCTGTGCATGCACCCTCATGTCTGACATAAGGGGTAACACTGTCTGAATCTCAGCACCCTTAGCCTGCTGACATTGTGCTCTCCTGGAAAAAAGTGCTTGCAAGACGATCACTGCCCGTGTCTGTCTGATGATGATCTACAGCTGCATGCAGCAGCAGCACCAATCATCAGAGAGACATGGACAGTGTTTGGAATTCCTGAAGAGCATCACCTGCCAGTTCCTTCCACAATGAGCTGGGTAGGGTTGTAAATGACCCTACTAATATACCATTGTAGTGGTTATTGTGCCACGAGTGTCCCACAGGAAGATGTGAAACCATTATAGCATTGTCTGAAAACTGACCTGGGTCCTGCCAAATGCCCATGTCTCTGTCAAGTCTTCTCCTACAGAAGAAGCTGGATGTCTCTATAGAAAAAATCTTGGGCCAGCGCAGGACTGCGTTCATTGACTGAGAGCGTTCAGCTGATGCTGTCAAGCAATGAGAGGAGTCTGGCAAGGCCCTGCTTTGCTCTTATATAGTTTTTCAACTTCTCCTGCTGCATTAGATACGATGCAGGGGACGCAACTGCTGACACCAGGTGTGACCCAGTCACCCAGCTAAGTTGTAAAGATAAAAACGGCATTCCTGGCACCATAACCACCACAACTTGCTGTAGTGGTTACGGTTATTGGAGTGCCAAGAGAGAATGGCAGCACCCACAAGGGACAGGTTCAGGTAAGTAGAAGTCACCTTTGCCTGCACCCTCTCCTGGCCACCAGACCCCCAATGGCGATGTCACCATTGGTGTTTTTGCAAATTATGCCATTATCAATAAAAGTACTGCATTTAACCTATTAGAGTTAAAACCATTAACCCTATTGTGCTTCGATGCACATACCTACCAAATGTCCTTTTTTAGGATGGACAGTCCCAGTTTTGTGCCCATACATCTTGGTTTCTATACTAATTGCATGTCTTTATTTGAGCTTCACAGTTGGGTGTTCCAATGTGGGTGTCTATAAAATTCAATTTATCTGATCTTGTTCTAAATTACATTCCATTTACATCAATAGGTCATGAAGACATCTTAAAATGTCCCATAATAACCCTCACCTAGCCACAAAGCCTAAAATAAAAGATTCCCACGTTAGACTTTTCAAGGTTGGGAGATATGCATTAATCAATGGAATATTCAATAGCACTTTGCACAGGCTTCGGTTGACTGGCAAAAAAGGTTGTTTCTGCCATCAGATGTACTACTTGTATGTCACCTTTACATCACGTGTCCCTGATTTCCAATATTGTAAAAATACTATAAATATTACAATGCAGATTTAGTTTATTTTCAAAACTGATAAATGAAATAAAAAATCTGAAAATTCAATGCCAAGCCAACTGATTTCAAATATTTACACAACTCTGTTAAATTTGGTCAACCAGAAATAAATGTTTGGTTTTGAAAGGCAAATATCACAGATTAGACTTTTATCTGTAAAGAATTCAGAATCTTTTTTGCATGTGCTCTGTCATAGAGATTGCAAGTCTCTAATTGATTTATTATTCTGGATTAGATCACACAATGGTTTTTGTGCACACACAGCTTCCTGATCCTGCTTCCTTTGTAGACTTTCCATTTTTATTTAAAGGGATAAATGATCTCCCTCCATGTTTTAGTGCATTATGGAGATAATGGGTTAAAACTTGCAGTGTATGTGTCATTGTGTGTATCTGTGTGTCAGTGTATGTATCTGTGTATTAGTGTATGTGTCGTTGTGTGTATCTGTGTGCCAGTGTATGTGTCATTGTGTGTATCTGTGTGTTAGTGCATGTGTCGTTTTGTGTATCTGTCAGTGTATGTGTCACTGTGTATCTGTGTGTCAGTGTATGTGTCATTGTGTGTATCTGTGTGTCAGTGCATGTTTCATTTTGTGTATCTGTGTGTCAGTGCATGTCATTGTGTGTATCTGTGTGCCAGTGCATGTGTCATTGTGTGTATCTGTGTGCCAGTGCATGTGTCATTGTGTGTATCTGTGTGTTAGTGCATGTGTCGTTTTGTGTATCTGTCAGTGTATGTGTCACTGTGTATCTGTGTGTCAGTGTATGTGTCATTGTGTGTATCTGTGTGTTAGTGCATGTTTCATTTTGTGTATCTGTGTGTCAGTGTACGTATCTGTGTGTCAGTGCATGTGTCATTGTGTGTATCTGTGTGCCAGCACATGTGTCATTGTGTGTATCTGTGTGTCAGTGTACGTATCTGTGTGTCGGTGTATGTGTCATTGTGCGTGTCTGTGTGCCAGCGCATGTGTCATTGTGTGTATCTGTGTGTCAGTGTGCGTATCTGTGTGTCGGTGTATGTGTCAGTGTGTGTATCTGTGTGTCAGTGTACGTATCTGTGTGTCGGTGTGTGTATCTGTGTGTCAGTGTGCCAAGGTTGAGAATGGGTCGTTTCCAGCATATCCTTGAGAGAAGGAGGGTAAATCAGTTCTTTATTGTCATCTGTTTGTTGATTTCTGTTTCTAGAGGTTTCTTCACCTGTCTCAGTCAAAATGGTGACATCTACGATGACCTGAAGTATATCTGGCTGCAAGGCAGGCAGGTAATATGACTTTAAAATCACAACACGCACTGCAGGGTTTTTCTGTATTTCACAATTCCCATGCAATTTCAATGCAAGATCCCTGCAGGCTATAACTGTTTTACCCTCTTTCTAGTTGTGTTTTATAGAGTATAGTTTTCTCTGTCTGAGTTTTGCAGAATACTCTGATCAGCCACAACATCAAAACCACCTGCCTAATATCGTGTAGGTCCCCCTCGTGCTCCTAAAACAGCTCTGATTGGGGCTTAGACTCCACAAGCTCTCTGAACGTGTCCTGTGGTATCTGGCACAAATACATTAGCAGTAGATCCTGTAAGTCCTGCAAGTTGCGAGGTGGGACCTCCATGGATTGGATTTGTTGTTTCAACACATTTATTACTGGTATTTATAAAGCGCCAACATATTCCTTAGCGCTGTACAATTAGGGAAGAACGTACAATATACACAGACAAATACCTAGAGAGAGCCCTGCCCGTAAGCTGAGATCTAGTCATTGAAGCTCTTTTATACAAAGTGCATACCTAGAGAGCCCGTGAGCCACATCCAACAGATGCTCAATTGAATTGAGATCTGGGTAATTTAGAGGCTAAGGCAACACCTTGAACTATTTGTCATGTTCATCAAACCATTCGTGAACAATGTTTGCAGTGTGGCAGGGTGCATTATCCTGCAGAAAGAGGCCACTGCCATCAGTGAACATCATTGCCATGAAGGGATCTGCATAAATCTCTAGGTAGGTGGTATGTGTCAAAGTAACATCCACATGAATGCCAGGACCCAAGGTTTGCCAGAGGAACGTTGCCCAGAGTATAACAACGCCTCCGCCGGCCTGCCTTCTTCCACAGTTCATTCTGCTGACAAATCTTCCCCAGGTAAACGCACACCCACCCAACCATCCACCTGATGTAAAAGAGGCAGATTCATTAGCAACTTTCTTCCATTGCTCTGTGGTACAGTTCTGTCTCTCATGTCCCCATTAAAGGCATTTTCGACGGTGGACAGGGGTCATCATGGGTACTCTGATAGCTCTGCGGCTACGCAGCCCCGAATGCAGCAAACTGTGTTATACACTGTGTGTTCTGATACCTTTCTATCATGGCCAGTATTACGTTTTTCAGAAATTTGAGTAACAGTGATAGGCCCAGATGGGCTAGCCTTCGCTCCCCACATGCATTAATGAGCTTTGTGCACCCTAACGCCGGTTCACCAGTTGTCAATGTTCTGACACCTTTCTATCATGGAAAGTATTGAGCTTTTTGGCAATATGAGTAACATTAGCTCCTCAGTGATAGGTCCAGATGGGCTAGCCTCCACTCCTCACGTGCATCAATGAGACCCTAACGCCGGTTCACTGGTTGTCCTTCCATGCACCACTTACCGAGCACACACCACAACACTTGCCGTTCTGGAGATGCACTGAGCCAGTCATCTAGCCATCACTATTTGGCCATTGTCAATGCTTGTATATTTTCTGGCTTCCAAAACATGAAATTCTAGAATTGACTGTTCACTTACTGGCTAATATATCTCACCCCTTGACAGATGTAATTGTTATTAGATAACAAATGTTATTCACTCGTCAGTGGTTTTGAGGCTGAGGCTGATCAGTGTAAATGTTACCCTTTTCTGCCACTGAAGAGAACAAAGTGACAAAACCAAGGGATGGAGCCCATAGATCTATAGTACGATAATCATTATGATAATTGTAGTGGTTATGGTGTTTTAAGTATTCCATTAAATATTTAGAACCTTACGCTTACCTATTTATTTTTTACTTTATCAATTACTTGTGTTTCTACCCTGCCTGCTATGTCAGTCAATCACACTTTTTTCTTTTTTTTCATTTGCAAAAAGAATAATTCTTTTGCTTGTCTGTCTAGGTTTGGATGTATTGCCACCTGTATAGAAAAGTAAGCAAGTTTCACAAGGAAGAAATACTTAATGCCGCAATAAAAGGTAAGATGGGGCATGAATACAAGGCTGGAATAACCATATTGTAGTCCAGCACTTAAGGCACAGAGGCCAGGTTTTCTCGCTATTCATATTGAAATAGAATTGGTAAATGCTAAAATTCTGCAGTATTGAGGAGTGGACTATGGTTAGAACTGATCTAGACACTTAACATTATGTGATGTAGAGCAGTGACTTACACAGGTCATGGCACATGGCCTGGGCTCCATTTGAAGGGGGCACCACACAGTCGAATTACCCATTAGGCGACCAAGGAGGCTGCCTGGGGCCCCTGTCTGAGCTGAGCGCTACGGCTCTGATCGGGTCCTTCTCCAGCCGGCACAATGACCAAAAAAAAAGAACATTTGGAAAACTGTAGTCCTCTTAAATTTGCCTCTATTTTCCCATAACTTATTCATTGTAACTTGACTATTGACTGACTCCAAGTTCTCCTCAGGCACCAATTAAGTTACACAAAATAATGGTAACTCCGAACTAGTCCAACAACCATACAAAGGGCACAAGCCTTTCCTTAAGTTATTTTGCTATGTATCCAGGGTGATTGTTGTGAAGGTCTCCAATTTATTCAATATCATTCAGATATTTGGGTAAAGTAGTGGTTTGAAATGAAAAATGAATACTTTCTTAGCCTATTAGTAGCTCCCCATTCACAAAAGTACATACGTTTCTCAAACTGTTTGTGAATGGAGAGCAACTATAAGTCTGAGATCGTCATTTGACACTCTCAGCCTCACATTAGTTCCCAGTCTGAGTCTTCCAGATTCAAGCTTGACTGTGGCAGAAATAGCTGGGAAGGCCAATTAAGCACCGGATTTAAGACTTTGGGGTTAAACTGTATGTTAACTGTGATCCGGCGCCTGGGGACCTCCTCTCACCATGGCAACTTCATTCTGATGTAAATTTCCTGTTGGTAAAATTTAACATTGCTCAGCAAACTGTATTTCAAGAAAAAGATCTGAAATTAAGAAAACTCAATGATCTTTTCATTTCTTACAAGAACAAATGAAAGAGTCAGAAGGGTGGACAGTAGTCACAGCAAAAGAAGGAAACGGATAGTCCTGAAAAAACAATTGTTCCCGTTACGTAATTTTAAGTCAATAGTTTTAAAATTAAATAGTATGTATGTATGGTGGGCAGTGGGCAGTTTATATTTGCCAGTCTCCATTTAAATTTGGAGTCTGGCACGTACCATCCGTATTGGGCCTCACTGAATCCGTAATCTGTCTATGAATCTTTTTATATTCTTTTATTTTGTATAATTCCATTTTGTGGTTGCCATTAAGACAGTTTGTTTTCCCACGGTGCCCTGTGAGTAAAGTCTGCCTTGGGCAAGATCTGGTTTTCCAACTAGTTGATGCCAACCACTGGAGGTCCGGTAACCTGTGGTAAACTAACACAAGAAACAGACTGTTGGAGACAGTGTGCTATTCTCTAATCCGTGAAAATAAAAAATTTAATTGATATAAGGGATACATTTGACAAAAATAGAAGACTATTGGGCTTTTCTCTGCACAGGAGGGGAGTTCCTTCTGGCTCATGCTCGACCCAACACAGATTCCATAAAATGTGCCTTTGTCGTAACGCGAGATGGACAAGCAGTAAAAGTGCAACGGACCATCTTCAGTGAGTGTTTCTTCATCATGGCTATGGATGAACTATGGAGAACCACTAAAGAGGATCAGTATAAGGTGAAGCAGAGGCAGATCCACCTCCTGTAATATGGATAGAACAGGAACCAGTCAAATATATTTTGGTTGGATCAATATGTGTATATCTGTGAGAAAATATTAAATATGTTTCCAATATTAATAGTTTATGTATCAATTACATTAAACAGATTTCTTTGGGCACAAATATTGTTTGGGTAACTTGCCCAGTTGAAATTTTACATTACGGGTTTGAGTTGCAAGTCTTTTCATTATAGATCTTTAATTGATCTCTACAATTTTGCTGAATGGACTTTGATCTGTACATTCCAGTGCGATGTTTATCTAAATGGGTAACTTCTTGGCCTTGGGTCACGCTGGTTTTATTCTAGACATAGATTAAACGATCATAGGCTTGGGGTCGGAAAGTATGGACATGAGTGGTCATTATAGATATCTAATGATATCTTAGAATTCCAGCTTGTTCACGCATACTAAAAAAATGATCAATTAGAGGTGTTTTAAATAAAAAATATATTTTAGTCCCAACAAGCTAGAACTAATTTAAACTTAAGTGTATGTTTGTGTGAAGGTCTGTTAGAGTATTACTGTTGCACAGAGTCTCAAGGTGAACAAATTTAGAAGTCTGACTATCTTGGTTCTGCAGGAGGAGGCTCGGAAAACGATGGATCAGATTGTATATTGGGTACGAGAAGATTCATCTGGTTTGGGGAGACCAGAGCTTCCTGGTGCAGCTCCAGTGAATGCTATGGCTGTGCCAATGATGTTGCTCAACTTAGTAGATCAGCTGAGTGAAGAGGATGAAGAGGCAGCAAAGAAATATGAGGATTTGAGAAAATGGAGTACTGAAAGGATCTTGCAACATATTCAGGTATCAACTGTATATAAAAAGGCATGGTACATTAATTATTTGTATAAGTATAAAGCACCAAAATCAGGGTTCGAGTCCTGCAGGAACGTGTGGGAACGACGTTCCCACTGTTGCTGCAGGCACACAGGGGGCAGCAAAAAATGCTGCCCCCCATGTTCCACCTGCCTGTCTCCATATCAGACGCGGCGAGGTTGCTGTGTTATCTCTGCTCCCTCTCGCCTTGCGCCATTTGTTGGTGCCGGGAGCCGGAATATGACGTCATATTCCGGCTCCCGACATCAGTAGACAGCCCGCGCGGCGAGAGGGAGCAGAGAGAACACAGCAACTTCGCCGCGTCTGATGTGGAGACAGGCGCCCGCCCCACTGGACCTCAGGGATAGGTCCACGCCAGCTCTCCAGGTAGGGAGGCTGGGTGGACATTTTTTAATTTTAAAAAAATTATTTGTGTGTGTCTGTGAGTGTCTGGATGTCTGTGAGTGTCTGGATGTCTGTGAGTGTATGTGTGTCAGTGTGTGTGTGTGTGTGTGTATATATGGGTGTGTCAGTGTCATTTGACACTCTCAAATATATACACGTGCACACACACACTGACATAAAGTGTGGGAGCTCTCCCAAGATTCCCCCCCCCCCCAAAAAAAAATATATACACTTGTATATGTGTGTGTGTGTATATATATATATATATATATATATATATATATATACATACACACACAAGTGTATATTATTATTTTTTTTGGGGGGGGGGATCTTGGGAGAGTTCCCACACTTTATTCCCCAGGACTTGACCCCTGACCAAAATGCTTTATGAAAAAAGAGCACATCTGGGCTATTTAAATAAAATTTAAAGGGGCACTATAAGCATAAAACAATGTTAGCTTCATGAAGCTGTTTTGGTGTACATGTTATCACCCTGCTGTCTTACTGCTCCATTTTCTGCCATTTAGGAGTTAAATAACTTTATTTATGCAGCCATAGGCACACCTCTCTGCATGTGACCTAAACAGTCTACCTATGTTAAAACTTCCTTTATTGCACATTCTGTTTAATTTAGAATTTCATATCTCCTGCTCTGTTAATAGGAAAATCCTGTGGGAGAGTCAAGTTCAATTAGTAGGGCAGGATATAAACTTCCAAAGTAAACACGCTGTATTGACTAATAATTAAAAACTTTTTTATGCAGGCTGTGTCAGTCACAGCCAGTGGAGGTGTGACTAGAGCCACATAAAAAGAAACAAAAGAGATGTAACTCCTATATGGCAGATAATTGAGTAGTGAGACTGCAATGGCATGATCTATACATCAAAACTGCTTCATTAAGCTAAAGTTGTTTTGGTGCGTAGAGTATCTCTTTAAGAAAAAAAAAAACAGAGAAGAAAAGATTTTATAAGATTTAATGTCTATTTTCTCTCCTTTACTATGGCTAGCGAGATGGTAGTGCTGTGCTGGAGAACGTGTCTGATGAGGGAAAGGAGCTTCCAGGCTGTTTGGGAAGACATCAGAATCCAGGTAAATACATACTACATCTCAATGCTTGTGCCTTCACTGCTGATCGTCATCAAGCCCATTCCTTCATGTCTGTTTCTCCTTTTCTAGGCCATGCTATGGAAGCAGGCTGGTTTCTCCTGCGTCAAGCCATTGCACAGTCTAACCATGACTTAGGCCGTATCGCTGTTGAAAAGTTTGTGCTTCTTCCATTCCTCTCTGGTTGGGATCAGGAATATGGGGGTCTTTTCTCTTTCCAAGATGTGGATGGACATTGCCCTACACAGGTGAGAACAGAGAGTAGTTAAAAAAAAAAAAAGAGGCTCCTATAGCTGCATTAAATTGACATTACTAATATTTACTATATTAACATACTACTTAAGATATAGATTGACCTACTAAAAACATTTTGGTAAATTCTATTTGTTTTCTCTGCAGCTTGAGTGGAGCATGAAGCTCTGGTGGCCACATACAGAAGCACTTATTGCTTTCCTTCTGGGATATCAGGCGACCAATGACCCACAGCTGCTGGAGCACTTCCAAAAAGTCTTTGACTATGCGTTCAGTCGGGTGAGTGCATATATAGCTGGGAGTTTTAGAAAAGAGACCCTTTGGAGGAGGATGAGACAACATTTCCAGGTGTTGTGGACCTACAGTTACCACGATACTTTTCAAGGTAGTGGGTGGTGAACAAACTTAAATCTGTAGTTCTAGAACAGCTGGAGCACGACCTTTCCTGCTCTAGACTAGAGGATTGTCAATGCTCTCACACTTGAGGTGATGTCAGTGCACTGTATATCAGAGTCTTTCCGTTTTTAATTTATAAGGACAGGAAGGTCACCATCTAAGAAGGTTGACACAGGACAAATTGTGCAACTAGGCCTTCCGTCTATACTTGCCATTCTGGAAAACTGGTGGACACTGTGCTAGGTTCTTTTACCTAGGAGCAATGCACCATTGATTTTCTGCAAGGAAAATAAAGTATTAGGTCAAAAACTATTTTATAACGGAGACTGGAATCTGACAACATGTAGCCTCTAAATCAATTGATATTAATTGTAAAGTATCTGATGTATCATGCCATCCCTACACCTGAGGTTTATCAAGCAGAGTAAGACATTTTAGATGTGCCCAGGTTTTCATTGTGTGCATTGTTGCCTTCATAGTTTTAAGCCTGGGCTCCTCATCAAGAGGGAACATTCGACCAATGCTATATCTGATTTTTTATTTTTTTTAAAGCTGCGAACAATCGTTTATATTGCCACTAAATAACTAAAGACATCGAGGAATACAACAACAAATGTTGCTCTATTTAAATTTTTGTATGTAGAAATCTGGTGTTACTGTGACGTTATGAGTTAATTGCATTTGGAAACATTTACAAGGAATATAATCCTAATTGGTCCTTTTAAGACATTGGCTTGATGATAATTAGGAAAGATATGCTCCAAAAGGCAGAAAGCCAAAGTTTCATACATGTGTTTAACACCTAACATTTCTTGTTTTAAGTTTTCAGACCCGAAGCATGGGGAATGGTTTGGTTACCTGAGTAGAGAAGGCAAAGTAGCACTTAGTATCAAAGGGGGACCATTTAAAGGTGAGTCATAATAAGGGCCATGTTTATTCATAACACATACTTGCCAGGTGTCGTCTAGTGTGTGATTTTATTTTTTTTTGGAATTTGAATTGGCAAGGTAATATAGTACCAATTCAACACATGCTTAATACTCGCTTAGGTTGGCCACTCTTGAATAGGTCCCACTCAAATCACCAATGCCCTTCCAATTTATGTTAATGTGTGGGGCTTATAGAAAAACACTAGAGCAACTGATATTTGTCACTGGTTTTAAAACAATCATCCACTTTATTGGTCACTGGTCATTGGTCGACGTGTTAAAATTGATCCACAAAATCTTTTATTTTTCTTTCTTCAGAATGCAAACCCACAAGGATATATTCTATATAAAGCAAAATGTGGTTATTCACTTAAAGAGACACCTCCACATTATAAAAACTTTTGTTTATAACTTTATAAGTCCACTTTTTAACATTTCCCACCTGATGGAGTGTTGTGAAGTTTACTGTGTCCCCTTTCCTGCAAAAATAAGGAGTTTCCTTACCTATAATCCTGCAGCGATAGAGTCCCAGGCCACAGCTTCACCTCCCGGAGATTATTACTACTGATGATATGCCGGACAATCAAATGCTTCAAAGCATCGGGACACAGGGCACATGCGCTTGCAATACCTTTCATAGAGAAGCATTGAATCCAATGATTCTCAGTGAGAATCCAAACATCCACTTTGTGCTAGGGCACTTTAGAAAAGCGCCAGTTTCTCTTGAAATCATCACTTTTATAAAGTGAGGACACTATGCTGAGCCCTAATGCACTTCAGCAAGCTGAAGTGCTATAGGCGTTTGAAGTATTCCTTTAAAACTGTAAGATGTAAGTGGACATTTTTTTTTAAATATTTTATATAAATATATAATATTGCAACTCTCTTTTTAGATAATAAATACCAGTAGAGATGTAGCGAACTTCCCGCGAACGGCTCGCCGCGGTTTACCGCGAACCGTTCGCTGCGAGCTCCAGTCAGCTGACACATCCCGGCCAATCTCCAGCAGACCCTCCCTCCCAGATCCTCCCACCTCCTGGACAGCTTCCATGTTGAAGGCAGCTTCAACATGGATGCTGTCCAGGAGGAGGGAGGGTCTGCTGGAGATTGGCCGGGATGTGTCAGCTGACCGGAGCTCGCCGCAGCCGTACGCGGGAAGTTCGCAACCGGTTCGCGACATCTCTAAACCAGTACATTTCATTGAAGTCAGATAGGAATAGAGAAATCAAACTATATTTAAAAATATTCAGGGCTTTATTCATTAATTTGGCAATGAGTGTGGTACTGTATCATAATGCCACAGCTGATTGTCTCAATAAAATACATATTCCTGGACTTTATTAATTAAAGCAGCACTGTCCCCTCCTACCCCCAAAAAATTGTATTTAATAAAGAATCTTTATGGAATACTCAATTTGACCGTGTTGGAATTTCACTGAAATTGCACCCGTCAAGAGATTTACAGAGATAAAGAAGGGACTAGGGACCTCTGCCTGACCTTCTCAGACTCTGGGCAGAGCTACAGACCGCAGGTCCTCCATAGACCTCAATGCTGTACTCTTGCACACGCTGAGGCACCATGAGCTAAAGTGGACTCACTGTAACAAGATGGCCGTGCTCATGAGGGACAGGTTCAGGTAAGTAAATCTCACCTTTACCTTTCAAAGTGAATCACTCAAAACTGCTGATCTGAAAACTTAGCTGACTTGTAAATATTTTCCATTTTCGCTATTTTGCTCTAAAATTCGAAAAACAATTTGAACTCCTGACAACTCAAGTTTTACCCAATAACCCTGTGTATTTACACTTGTATTTGAAGCCCGACACTGAGCAATACGCAAAATAAAATGTACGGCCCGCCAAGTTTAAATGTAGCTGTTAATCTGCTTTGGTTTATGAAATTCGTAAAAGTAAAACCGGTCATATTCATGGCAGGATGCTTTCACGTTCCGCGGTGCCTGTATATGTGCGAGGAGATCCTATCCAAATTACTGGCAGAGTGTGACAAGACTTAAGATCTGCCTTCATCGAGCATTGCTTGCTGAGTCGTGTAATCCTGGGATATTGAGACTCGAAAAACAGATTATTCTAATAGCTGGATTAGAATGTTTATACCTGCTTTGCACAGTTAACCAGTCAGACTGCACTAACCTTCCTAACTCTGAATCCTTTAAACTCCAGTGTTAGGGTTAGACATATCCTTTGTAAATGTATAGTCCAGTTTTTTTTAAAGAAATCTTTGTTGATAAACCATCGAAACATTAGATATTACTATAATTTGTATCTAAAAAAAAAATAAATACATAGATTTATCTACATACATTTTGTCTTCTCCTGGTCCTTTTGTTGAGATCTTTCAGTTGATGAGAATATACTAATACAATCTGTCCCTGACGTAACCTTGGCCATGCTGGATTAAGGTTGTCCTGGCCCTATGTAGAGTAACAGATCTGAGCCCCCTTCTTGAGTACTGGACTCTGATGCTGTCAGTGGAGTGTGTGTTGCGGTGTGTGGAAGCAGCTGTGGGCTGTATATTGGAGGGAGGGTGAGTGTGGCTGAGTGTTGTGTATGTAGTGTCTGAATGTGTTTGTGTTTGCACCCCCTCCTGCTTACCTTTTCATGGTGGTCCACGTGCCAACTCTGTCAAATGGAAAATCTGGAACTGCTGGTGTTCTAAGCCATTGAGAAGTGCAAAGGATACATGAGGGAGCTCTTAAACTGGTCTACACCCACAGTGCTTATTCAACAAGGTACGGGGCTCAGGGCCGAGCAGGAAGATCTTTTTGTTCACTCTGCCTTCTTACAGAGGGCCACCTCAGAGCCAGACCTGAAGTTCCAGGCCCCTGTTGGCATAAATTCATGCACAATATAAATTGACTTGAATACTGAGTTGGTTAAGTTACTTAACTGGTGTCCAGATATCTCCCCATTAATAAGCAGCTTACAGCTCACATTCTATGTTTGTTGTAAACTGAAATAATTTATCTATGTTGGCATGCAATTGTTTTAAGGCTTAAAGCACAGCATATACAGAGTTATTTGCACTTGTGTGCCGGGGCTGGATATAACCGCAACACATATGACTTAGACAGCCTGGTAATTCTGTGCACTGAGCTAACCTGGTCCTGAAGATAGGCTATCATTGACAGAGAGCGCTCACTTGATGCTCTTAGCCAATGAGCTTGACCAGCATTGCAGGGCTTCGCTCAGGGGGGCTCATGGAAGCTCTGTGTAGGAGTTTATGGCTTTTCAGAAGGCTTTGACCAGTCAGTGGACCCCAGGCAAGTTACCAAAATGTTTGTAAATGGTCTGTTGATCCTGAAGAAAGTCTCAGGAGGGAACTGAAACGTCGATCTGTTGGATTTTAATTTTCATGCATAAATAAAAATTGGAACTTCTTTCAAAGTCTGTGAGTGCTGCCATAGGTTAAAGAAAGATATATAAATACACACACAGACACATGATTGTGCTCCATTAATACAGGTCTGTTGTTCTTCTCTGGTCACATACACTGCGAGGACTCATGACTTGGGAGTGAACAGCTGCTCAGAAGTCGCCAATTTCGGTAATTATTTATTTTAGCCTATTTTATTAGGAGCATCTGCCCAATGCTGCAACTCACTTTTTCCAAACACTATGTACAAACACAATCAGGGTTATTCATAAACGTGAGAATTGATGGGAATTCCAAACTTTAGGTCAAAGCAGACAAATTAGAAAAGTTCTCCAAGGCCTGTCCTGTTTTCGGCTTAGCTATTTTGGTTTTCGATTAGAAATTCAATTTCTATTCACTTTGAATTTCTAGCAATTCTCACTTAAGTGAATAACGCTGATAGTTTCAATCTTTATGCAATGTTCAAAACAACAAAATGTTTTTTTTTATTTTTTATTTGATTTGTAGAAAGAAATCCCAGTAAAAGTAATTATACCAATATGAATGGATTACCAAAACAAGGTAAAATAAATAAAAATATTACGTGAAAACATCAGTCTTTGTCAGTGAAAAAAGTAAATATTGACCAGCTGAAGTAGGACAAGAAAAGTAAAAAAACAAGTCCAATTGAATATGGCAGAGCCATATATAACATATTGGAATAATCTCTCCACTCTGACACATACTCCCATATTTGAAGGTCTCTCCAGTAAGGGTTTTAGTCCCGCTATTGACAACTGTAGCAATCCAAGTCCCATTGCCTTCCCTTCTGCAAAGTTGCATGTAGAATATGGTGCTGGAATGCCTGGGGTAGCAGAAAATGTTGCCAGAATGCAAGTCCTAGCAGGCAGTTCCAAAGACGCTTGTGACAGTCATCACTGGGCTCCTATGTGAAACAAAGACAAGACCCAAACATGTCCTTCCAAAGCCTGCATCCAGTATTACATAAAGGTAGACTGGGGGTAGTCCTTGGCCCTAACAGGTTAGGGGGCTGGCTTACTTATTGTAAAGCCTGCAATATGAGAGAAATAAACCTTAAAACCCGTCATATGTCAACTCATATAAAATAATATATATATAGCAAGAAAGCATGACTATCGACATGACATTGAGCGAGATCCTAAAAGTAGGAGGACTAAACAGCTGTAAAGCAAACCCCAGGTGTAACCAATAGTATATATCAGGGGTAGGTCCACATCTGGAGTACCGATGGTTGCCTAGCCCTCGTATATACCAACCCTGTTATGAATCTTCTTAGTATCATTATAACTTCTGTAACGGATCACCTAGCACCCCGACTGGGTACGTCCGTTGAAGGATGCTCCTAGCGCTGCCTGAGGACTCCAAGCACTGCAGCTAACACCATAAGCACCGTAGACTCCTTCGGAGAGCAAAACAGGAACAAGCTCTTACAAGTCCAAACAGTGTCTGTGAGTTAAAATGGCCGCCATCCATTGTTCTCACCATGTGCTTCATCCATTGTTCTCACCATGTGCCTCTGATATAGGAAATGGTGGCCACCCAGTAACTCCACAGTATGTCCACAGATGGTTCTTAAAGGGCCAGCAGCAGCACAACACAAATCCCTTATGCCCAAATCATGTCTTTAAAGGGCAATACATCCCAAGGGCCATAGTCACGTGGCAGGAGGCTGGCAATCAGTCTTCTCCAATGCCCAGTGGCGAGGTTGGTTTCGCCACAACTTCCAACAATGTATAGACAGGGAATGAGGCAAATACAAATGATAATAAACAAATAAAAAAATTATAGAAAACAAAAAATACAAAATAAAATTATAAACAAAAAATGAAAAATAAGAAAAACATAAAAATTGAAAATACAAAAAGTAAAAAAATACTAAATAAAAAAGTTTAAAAAACCTAAAAACAAGTTTTAATCAGAGAAATAGGAAATGGGTATTGGGTTCAAGTGGTAAATAGGAATAACTTATTTCTTATAACAAGCAATGTCATCATTTACCCACTCTATATTCGGAGTGCGTACAAATGTAAGACTGTTATTAAAGCAGCACTATCACAGTTTGAGAACAATCAGCCAATGAATGTGACTGGATCGCTCACTTCTGACTTTGGAACCTATAACCCAGCTGAAGACGAGCCTTAGACCAGGGTAGGGCCTCAGTTAAGAGACCAAGGCGGTATTAAATGCTAACCACTACAGTTACAGCGGGATTTAGTGACCATGATCCCAGGACATACTTGAAAACGAGAGAAATCTCAATGTATCTTTCCTGGTAGAATATTTTATAAATAATTAAATGATGCTTGGAGTAACATTTTTTAAAAACTGAAATATTGTATTTACAAACATTTAGTTTGAGCTGGGCCCTCAAAACCCCGTCTCTGCGCGTCCAACCTGCCTTGTTGCAAATACATGTCTGTAAGTCCACCCGTTGTACAGCGCTACGGTATTTGTTGGCGCTTTATAAATAATAATAATATATAAATGATTAACAGTGGCTGGAATTGCTAACACCTGATCCTGCCATTGGGAATACAGTACTCTACAATAAGAGAGTACCAGGACTTGCTCTCCAGGCACCACATGGCCTCAATGAAATGTGCAATGCATGCTGGGAAAACCCACCCAGCTGACTACCAGCCTGCGCTCTAACTGCCCATACCAGCATTCTAAAAAGGGGCGTATCATAGCTGCACACAGCCTAGAAATGCTATTGGTTTCCTGCTGTGTCAATCTAACAAATCCCGTTCACACGGGCACTGTGATTGGGTAGTATGCCATCACACTGATACAAGCCCTCTGATTGGTCGGCAAGAATGAAGGGGCTACCGACCAATACCGTTCTTGTTCCTGGAACGCAAGCGGCTCTGCGCTGATTGGCTGCCTTGCTGACTGCGTCAGACAGGGCCGGGAGAGCGTCTGCGCATGCGCCAGGCTGAGCGTGTAACACTGAGAGCAGCACCATGAATATCCGGAACGCACGGGTAACCGGGGCCGCAGGGGGTTATGGGACACCGCGAGGGGGGTAGTGAGCCTGTTACCGGGCTTGGAAAGACTGTCTGCGGGGAAACATTCCATTATACAGCCGGAAACAGCCCCTTCACACTTTAATGGGCTTTATCAGTGGGAGCATGGCTGCCTCTCCCAGGATGCAGTGCGGCTAGCTTAGCCTGGCTACTGCCTCTCCCAGGATGCAGTGCGGCTAGCTTAGCCTGGCTGCTATTATATCCCTCATGACAGCCCTGCTAATGGCTGCCTTTCCCAGAATGCTTTGGGGCTGGCTTAGTAAAATTGCTATTATATGCTTAAAGTGACACTATAGTCACCCAGACCACTTCAGCTCAATGAAATGGTCTGGGTGCCAGGTCCCTCAGGTTTTAACCCTTCAGATGAAAACACACGTTTACATAGCAGGGTTAATCCAACCTCTAGTGGCTGACTTCCTGACAGCCGCTAGAGGCACTTCTGCTACGCTGGATGTGAAAATCGCATTCAGCGTGCAGAACGTCCATAGGAAAGCATTGAGAAATACTTTCCTATGGACTGTTTGAATGTGCGCGCGGGAGCTGACGTCGGCGGGGGAGCCCGGCGCTGGATAAAGATAAGTGGCTGAAGGGGTTTTACCCCTTCAGCTCAAAGGGTGGGGGACCTAAGGGTTATATAGTGTCAGGACTTGTTTTCCTGACACCACTATAGTGATCCTTTAATAACAGTCCTGATCATGTTGTAATGTGGAAGCCCCCATACTGCATTTTTTTTTTCTAGGGAAAAGATTCGATATGATAACACTATACAAATATATACAGGGTGAGTCCAAAGCGCTATGTGCTAACCTGTTCATTAGCAGGAATATACAACAGACAAGAAGTCACCCAATGAGACTGGAAGAAAGGTGTTTTCGCCTACACTAGGGGGAAGGAGATTCTTTACAATAAGTACAGTGAAGATGTGGAATTCTCTGCCTAAAGAGATTGTCTTATCAGATTCTATAGATATTTTAAAAATATTTATTTTTTTGCATAAGCAGAATATTCAGTGATATAATAATCAGGTCCCCAATACTTCTCCATGAGGAGCATTGGATTGGACATCGGCAGAGGAGGCAATGCCTCCTCTGTGACATTGTAAGAACCTGAATGGTAAGGAGCGCCAAGGGAACCTCAGTGCTAGAATTTTTTATTTTTAATTTTACATGTAATACAGGTAGGGACAGGGGCAATATAGAGATTTGGATTCATAGCACAACAGTGTTCCATTTCAAATTGCTTCACTCTAAAATCAATGCGAGTTAATTTACTTGATGTAAGCTGTGTTTCCCTTTCGCCATTCTTATGATGTAGCTGAAATAATGCAAAAAGTCTTCTAACCTGTTTTACCTCTTTTTACTTGTGCAGCCAGAAGACCTTATGAATATGCAACACTGCAATCTGCTGTGTTTGCCTGAAAATTACCAAATGAAATATTACTTTTACCATGGGCTCTCCTGGCCACAGGTATGTAGAATAAAGACAAACGCAAACAAAAAACTATAGCATGATTTCAGAGCAGTAAATATTCTGTCAATTAATGGAGTTGATCATCACACTTGTATTAACTTATCCTTTAAAGGGACTCTCCAGTGCCAGGAAAACAAACAGTTTTCCTGGCACTGCAGGTCCCCTCTCCCTCCCACCCCCCATTCCATGTTGCTGAAGGAGTTAAAACCCCTTCAGTGACTTACCTGTATCCAGTGCCGATGTACCTCGGCGCTGGGTCAGGCTCCACCTACACTTCTCCCCGGGGGGCGGGGGAGACCTAATGGGCATGCGCGGCAATGCAGCGCACACGCATTAGACCTCCCCATAGGAAAGCATTGAACAATGCTTTCCTATGGGGATTTCAGTGACGCTGGAGGTCCTCAGATAGCGTGAGGACGTCCAGCGTCGTTATAACACACTTTTCGTGTTCTATGAACACGGAAGTGTCCTCTAGTGACTGTCTAGACAGCCACTAGAGGAGGACTTAACCCTTCAAGGTAAATATTGCAGTTTATGAAAACTGCAATAATTACACTTGCTGGGTTAAGGGTAGTGGGAGTTGGCACCCAGACCACTCCAATGGGCAGAAGTGGTCTGGGTGCCTGAAGTGTCCCTTTTAATGGTTTACTTAAAATTAGTGGCACAGTGGGTCTTAGATTAAATTGTGTGGTTTTCACTGACTGCCAGGGGACAACCGGGCTTCTAATCTAAACTAGAATGTAAGCACAGTTTAGAATTTCAAAAACAATAATTCAACTCATACCTAATATTTCACGTGACATTTTCATTTAAAGGGACACTGTAGGCACCCAGACCACTACAGCCCATTGAAGTGTTCTGGGTGCCAACTCCCATCACTCTTAACCCTGACCATGTAATTATTGCAGTTTTGTATAAACTGCAATAATTTCCTTGCAGGGTTAAGTCCTCCTCTAGTGGATGTCTAGCAGACAGCCACTAGAGAGAATTCCGGGTTCTTAGACAAGTTTGGTTGTCTAAACGACGCTGGATGTCCTCACGCTATGCATGAGGACTTCCAGCATTGCTGAAATCCCAGTACGAAAGCATTGAATAATGCTTTCCTATGGGAAGACCCTAATGCGAGTGCGGCCATTGCCGCACATTCGTATTAGGTCTCCGGCGGCTGGGGAGGTGCGTGGGACCCAGGTAGGTGTCAGAAGGGGTTATTAGCCCCTTCTGCACCACGGGGTTGGGCCTTGACAGAAGGGAAAGCTACAGTGCCAGGAAAATTTGTTTGTTTTCCTGGCAGTATAGTTCCCCTTTAAAACAGAACTGTCACATCTTTTTTGGAACTCAATTGCTAACTAAAAGTAACTTTCGTTTTTTTTCCCTTTCACAGCTATCTTACATCGCAGAAGATGAAAATGGTAAAATAGTTGGTTATGTCCTAGCAAAAATGTAAGTTATTTTTAAATATTATGCATCTATAAAAAGCTCAGTACATACAATTTTATAACTGGGTTATAGATTGATATAAAATTAACTTTACACAAAACCTGTTAAATCTTATGTTCTTCTGAACTTTTATTGTGTACTCACTGGGTCAGGACACGGGTAAGGCAACAAAGTAACTAATCATTTTCAAAAAGTGATTAAAGGCTAGGAGGGGGACTTTTAATCAGGATGAAAGTGAAAGCATGTAACTTCCACTTTAAAACCTTGCTTGTATTCACTCCAATGCTCTTTAAGGCATTTGTTCATTCAGTAATTTCCTGTATTTACTATTTCAACTCACTCCTTATGGCTTTCCCAATACCTGTATTTCGCCACTACATTCTTTAATGAATACTGCTTCTTAATCCCTTGGATGGAACAGATAATTGTGTTGCCATGTCGTCTTGGTGCCTCCCTACTGATAGGAACAGGAAGATCAGGACAAAAATGTTCTCTGAAATAGCCATGCCATCCGCAGTGCAGTGGAGGCCCCTTTGCTACTAGGAAGAAACTGAGGTGTTTTGAAAAATATATCTTAATGTTTGGAGACTGGGTCTCTGAAATAATATCCAGCTGAAGAATGCTAACTCTTTGTACTGAATCTGGTTCCTTGTCAAAATAAGAATAAAAGCCAATGGGATATATGGTTGTCCTGTTTGATTAGAGTGAGGGAATTCAGAGACTTCCTATCTATGGGCTACAACAGACGTAGAGAGGCTTGGCTACTAAACTAAAAAATATTGCAAAAGTAAATCGAAATAGAAAAACCGAGGCAAAAAAAAAAAATCTATTCTGGAAAAATTCTCCAACTCGCCCAAAGTCACAACTTATGCCTTATACTTCCGTTTTTCGATTCATCTGCAACAATTTTGTATTTAGTGAATTACCCCAAATACATCTAAGTTGAGCGACATTGGGAGAGCATTTCTGATAAAATGTTGTCGTCTTTCCTCCTGGACTGGATGGTGGTTGTTACTATGCTTACCACCCACAGACCACTGATCATAGCAGCACTGAAATGCTGGAGGTGTTCCTAAATTAATTAGATCTATCATTTGCCACTATGATAAATGATGTATTCAGTTCTTTAGGAGCTGTTACTTGTTAAGGTGAACATCTCATGACAAGTTCACTTCGACTTTTTCAAACATTTCGTGCTTTTAACAAAAATTCCATAAATGTTTACAGAAGTGCCTCTCAGCAACATTAAAATTTTTTTTTAAAAATCTCCACAATACAGTATGTTTTGTTTTGGGTTCTTCTCCCTAGGGAAGAAGATCCAGATGATGTGCCTCATGGTCACATTACTTCTCTGGTATGTATTTTATTTACTTTTCCCATATTTTTAGGATGTTTTAGTTACCGTATTAGTCCAGTAATGTAGACGCAAAATAGTGACATATTGCAGAATCTCTTAATAGCATTTATTTATTTACATTTTTTAGTAGTATTGACGAGCTTTTGGGAATTTCTTGCTTTATCAAGTCTAAGGTATTTTACTAAAAAGGGGCAATCTAGTCAGCAGAACCACTACAGCTTGATATAGTGGTTCTGGTGTCTGTAGCCTGTTCCTGCAGGCTTTTTAATGTAAACACTGCCTTCTCTGTGTTCACTGTCCATTGCTAAGAGCACATGCACAAATGCATAGTGAAGTCTGAAACACTATGCCTGTCGGAGCTCATTTGCATGTCAAGCTGGTATATTTGTGGAAACATGATTTATGCAAGTGACACAACAATAATTTTTCCACTTTGTTCAAAGTAAATTAGATCTGTCATTTTGTATCCTATGGGCTGTGCTGTTGATTCATGATTGACTGTAGAGGATTTTGAAAAACTGATGACCCTGCATTGTTTTTCATTGCAGGCAGTGAAACGTTCGCACAGAAGACTTGGCTTGGCTCAAAAGTTGATGGACCAAGCATCACGGGCCATGATCGAGAACTTCAATGCAAAATATGTTTCCCTGCATGTACGCAAAAGGTCTGTTCCTAATGCAGTTCAACACGTTTGTCATTTTTACATTTATTTTTATTTTTCATTCTCAAAACCGTGCTTCCCTTAAAGCTAAATAACCCCTTGCGTATCACTACCTGTGTTAGTGTGGATTGTTCTTCTTATTTTGCATTTGCAGCTCTATACAGCCCTACATCTTGTAAATGAGTGGGGCAATAGGATTCTATCCTGTAAAGAATCTTTAGAGGCTAACTTGTTATTGTGTGTTTTGTCACTGGTCCCTAAGGAGTTGAAGAGTGCCATTCTCTGGCACTGGAAAATATGACCACTGCAGTGGGTGTGCACTCTTTTGTCTTCAAATGTGGCGTATAGTATCCCTGCAATAAAACACTTTGTGTGCTCCAATTCACTGTCTGTCATCTGTCATATAGTAAGCAACACAAGCTTCAGATAAGTATTTGTTCGTTTGTGTGTTGCTGGTCTTTTGACTTTCACAATGTATGCATTGTGTGCCTACTTGAAGTTGACTTTGTCTTACTTTTGGTAGCATTAATTTTTCTTTTGATTCTGTGTCAATTGCCTTACCTTTATTTTATTTTATTTTTTCTCTTGCAGTATAGTAGAAAATGTGTTTGTTTATTTTTAAAAAATTTACTTTCTAATATAATTTTGTTTCTTGTGATTTAAGCAATCGAGCAGCTCTGCACCTATATTCCAACACGTTGAACTTCCAGTGAGTATTGAATTACTGTTCATGTGATCATGTCAAATTTAGGCTTTATTAAAAGTAATACTAAAAATGTCATAATGGAATGTCAGACCACTACTTGAGTCAGTCAGTAACAGAACAAGCACCAAATAAATGATCAGAATGTTTTATCCTTAACACTGTCCGCTTGAAAGGCAGAACTAGCTGAAGTGAGCTTCAACTGGGTAATTCATTACTAAAATACTAATTCTATCTGGTTTACAGAATAAGCGAGGTGGAGCCGAAATACTATGCTGATGGGGAAGACGCTTATGCAATGAAGAGGGATCTGACCCAAATGGCTGATGAGGTTTGTGTGCTGCCGTAGTCTATATTTTGTAGACAGACTGGAAATAAATTACTTTTTAATTTTTTTTATTTTTATTAGTATTCCATAATGGTGTAACATTTTGGAAGATAAACCCTCATCTAGATGTTAAGATTGCTTTTGAAGGGCTATTCTAATGAGAACAATCTTTGCACCACAGCCACCTGTAGAGGTTATTGTGCCTGAATTCCCCATAGCCCCATCTAACAGTCAAACTATTTACGAATTATCTAAAAATTACTGTGGCCTCCCTTGTGAGTTCTGAACTTGCCTCCAGTTTTGAGGGGGGGGGGGAATACTGACCTGTGACAACTTTGTTGATAAACTGCAAGCAAAGAAAAAAGCTATAAAATAGTGGGGAAGACTGACAAATTTATTAAAATCCATAAACCTTTACCTATATTCCTAAAATGAGTGCTAAAACCAACAATAGAGGAATACTTATTTGTGCATAGAAGTCCAGAAATACTTCAGTCCCATTTTTTCATTGCAAATTCCTACTAGATAGAACACTACACTGGTTAGTATCCAATAAAATGGTCCAAAGATATTGGAACAATGTAATCTGAATTGCCGGACCCTCAGGATATGCAGTACTGGGCAGACAGTCTGTTTTGGCATTGAGGCCTGCCGTTGGCAAGCAGTAGGGCTATTGGAAAGAGGACCGTGTTAAGGGCAGAGAGTGTACGTGCTATAGTTCCAGCACTTGCAGACCTCAAAACCGGAATCCGCGGTCTGACGCTCTCTACTGAGTCAGAGCACATTGCAGATTGACAGCATGCACTCTGACTCAGTGATGGTACCACAAGTTGCAGAATTGGAAATCAAGGTCTGCAGCATGTGCTGAATGTATTGGATGCAGATTTGGCTGCAGGATTGGTGAGATTAAGAAATCGGCACACACCATACACACAACATGCAGCTGGCACACACCAGACATGTGCTCCCAACATACAGCCAGATGCAAATGTGCACATGCACACACCAGACACTTGCACAACATACAACCAGCACACATCATTGTCTGTTGTGACTACAGTTGAGTTGGAGTGTTTTTCCACATCAGCTACTTTGGCCTCCATTGTTTTTTTGTTTGTTTTTTTAGTTATCTGGGAAAATTCTGAGATTAGTGAATAACAATGCCAATCTACAGGTCTAAGCAGGGTCTGCAATCTTTCTAACTTAAAATTTGTGTCCAGACAAGAAGATTGTTATGACGTACAAGTACCTTTTTAAAATGTAATTATTTATTATTTCTGCACCCTTGCTTAGCTTATAATGGCATATTAGATGTAATTTTTTACAAATTATTTTGTATATAATTTCTGTATTCTTCTACAGCAATTAAGAAAGCATTTGGAAGTCAAAGATAAGAGTCGTTCCCAGCCGTTAAGTTCGATTGAGAATAAGTCTGATAACCGGTCTGCACATGTTGGCGAATGCTGCCGAGATGAAAAATGTCTAGGAAATGCTGTGAAAAAGGAAGGAACGGAGGACAGTGGTGACAGCAAAGACGTCAGCGAAGTTAGCGAGGCCACTGAAAGCACGGATGTGAAAGACAGCTCTGAGGCTTCTGACTCTGCTTCTTAAAGAGAGACTGAATTTTTTTTTTTTTTTTTCTTTTTCGCTACAGCTTATATAAATTCATCACCCTGGAGGAATCCTTTTTCTGGTCTCCCACACCTTCTGTGATGTGGGGTTCTAAATTAATTCAGTGCTAGCAGGACCTGACTTTGGGAGACCCCCATTTGAAGGACCATTCTGGGAATTAAAGTAAAATGAAGTGCCCTCGTTTTAATTTTGAGTCCTACATTACCACCTTTACAGCTAGTGGTGTTCTTATTTCTAACACCAATTTTAGCAGTGCTGGTGTTTTTATTGTATCCATATCAGATATGAGGTTGACGACTTTGGCTAATCGTGTAGGGTAAAGGAGGGAATGTGGTATAAATATTGCTTTTCCAGTGAAAGAAAGTTTAGATAATTTAGAACGTCTATCCGGACCTTGTGGGGGAAATTGGGAATTTCAAGGGGAATTGTCACTACTCTGGAGCTGACATTATTGAATAAAATGCAGAAAATTGCCTATAGCTTGTGTTAACATCCTTGTCATGAGTTGATCCACTTTATATTAAAGATTTAGAAAAGGACAATATAATCCAGTTCAAACAAGGCAAAGCCAGGTTAAACATTGAAAATGAAGAGAAGTAGAAGTCTTTTCTCTGTATGCTTTGCTGACTGCCATATACAAAGAACAGACATAGGGAGAAGTAAATATATTAAAAATCCTGTGATGTGGCAGTTGTGCTTTGGGGTTTGTGCTTGACAATGCTCGTTACAGAACTGCACATGTTTTGCTGATCAACAGCACTTGCATGGTATTCTGGCGTCTCTAACACCAAGATAAGTTACAAGCTGCCGTAAAGACTTGAATATGAGATTGGGGTAGAGTTCTTATTTTATCACTTTAACTCTATGTAGCAAAATTATCTGTGACCTTCAAATACAATATGTCAACTGTTAAAACACGCTTTCTGTTACAGAAAGTGAAAATGTCTCATAGGAAATAATAAAACCAAGTATACTGCAACTCTTGACAAACTGTTGACTTCATTTTCCTCTTAAAAGTATTCCACACATTCTATTCCTACCATAGACTTTTAGGGCAATTGTAACACTACAATGTGCAAATTTCTCAAATGGGCAACACATTAAAAATATAATGGAAATATAGCTTGAATTGTGACTGCTTTATTTTTTTTAAATGTCTCTTCTGAAATGCAGCCATGTAATATATAAAAGGGGGGAAAAAATACAGTTCCCTTGTCCGTTGGCTTAAAATGTTTACTTTAAAGGGACATGTCATGATTAACATGAATCCTCATTTTAACTGTACACTGTGCTTCCCAAGGTACTATGAAATGATAGATGAAAGTATTTAGCATTCCATTTTCATCTTTCTCATTATGCTGTGAATTACTGTCTGCATAGTTTTTGGGGTTCCTGCAAGCACTATAATCCTTCCATTTAGGTGAACGTAGGAGCAGTGGTGTATTTTGGATTTGTGCTGCCCTAGGCACGACTAAACTCGGGCACCCCCCAAATCTAAATTTAACCCCACCCCCTCCCCCCAATTGGTGTCAAGGTCATTTTTTTTTTTTTGACTGATGCAAAATGCAATATATAGGGGGATATTTATCAATAAAAGTGAGTTAAATTCTGTCATTTGCATCCTATTTATTAAAATGTTCTAAAAGTAATCTAAACAATGATGGTTTTCTTGATCTCAAATTCTTCCAGGTTTTGTAGAAATCTTATTTCAGAAGACCACCAAAATTAGATTGGTGGAAAAAATTGAAACACAGCACTTTTCTCTACAAAACGTTCTGTCTGAAAAGTGGTGGAAAGAACGAGAAAACTGTAGTGTAGCCCAATAAATGGTGTACTTTAAAAAAAAATAAAAAAAAATTTAAATGACGTTCAAAAGAAGGAACAAATGCAAAAACCTGACTAATTGTGTTGAAAATTAGACATAAGTGTCGGCAATACTTTGATAAATCTCCCTCAAAGTATGTAAAACAGATTACAAAATGCGAAGCACATACAAGAATCCAAAATGAATCCGTGAAAATCCAGAGAAAAATATAAATGTAGGTTGTCACTCTAACCTGCAGAAGGGTGCTGGTATCAGGGTTACCCACAAAAAAAGAATACCGCACTCCAAAATGTTGCTCAAAAATATTAAAGACAATAAATTAGTGCATCACTTCACATGAAAATTCATTTATATACACAATTGGTCAGAAAAATCTGAATTCATATTAAATACACTATTTACTGTACAAGTTGAGTTCATATTCTGTACATCATATATAAAGATCCAAAAACCACAATAGTTCATCCGAAAGACTTGATTATGTACAAAAATCAGAACATTAGTCAAAAACAATTTTTTGAAGAGTTCATCAAACCTGAACTATGCTTGAGTGAAATATGCTTGTGATAGATCCTACCATACTCCGTACTAATTATAAGGCATCCTGCCTAAAATGGTAGCAGATTGTTAATTGTAGAAAGTAATCCAGGCACTCCAATGAATCCCAAAATTATAGGCAATTTGTTGGAACCAGGAACTACACAGCAACGTTTCAACCCCTTAGGGTCTTTATCAAGCTTTATCGTAGCTTGATAAAGACCCTAAGGGGTTGAAACGTTGCTGTGTAGTTCCTGGTTTTAATAAATTGCCTATAATTTGGGAATTCATTGGAGTGCCTGGATTACTTTCTACAATTAATTTTATACTTGGTCCTTTCTTGGTACTGGGGCTTATCCATTGGAGCACCCTGGATTCCTGGATAAAGGGTTGAGTGCACTTCCACTATTTCTTGTATATCTAAAATGGTAGCAGAGTCTCTCGAAAAGACAAAAAATAATTAAATACTGCAGGAAGCAAACAATTTGCAAAAAAAGAGTCTCTATATGTAAGTTCTTCTGAGTACTCAAAAAGAAAAAAAAGATTGGTAGGATCTTACCAAATACAGTTGAAGCAGGGTATTTGAATGTTGCAGTAGCAGTTAGTGTGTGTCTTAAAGACCATTCACGTCAACAAGCTCATAAGGGATCCAGTGGATTCCTCAATCCGTTTGGACCTCAGTAATCTCTCTATGTACGTTGTATGCGGATTTACGTACAGCTGTCTGGTTACAATTACATGTCTGTTAGTCCACCCATTGTACAGCGCTACAGAACCTGATGGCGCTTTATAAATAAAAATACAATAAAGACCAACTTTTTGCTCCCAAAACAGAGCGTATGATAAACTGCATTAGAATGTGGGGCCTTGTGTGAAGGGGACAATAAGGTTTGGGAAATAGGAGAGGGGTCACAAGATGGAATAACTGAGTAGGCTGAGGGCTGTATTCAACGCAAACTGGATTATTGTCAGAAATGTAAAATAAATAAGGGCAAAATAACCGCACTAAACATTTTTATTTTTTTTTAACCTAACATTTTTCATTTTAAATGCCCAATAATTCACATAGTGCAAGAAAAGAGAGAAGTTAAACCATTAATCTGGAATCAACAAAAAACATTGACAGCATTTCATCTTTATTATATATTTTATTATATATTTTGCATAATTCCAGATTATTGGCTGAAATGCACCAAACCTCCATTCCTCTCCCTACAACTTAAAAAAAAAAATTACTGAGACACCTTAGCATTGCACTGTGTATGGTTGGGCTTAGCCCATACTGTCTCTTTAAACCTCTGACATGCAGGAAGTGAACAAGCTCAGCCAATCACAGAGCGTGTCCACTTCCGGCCAGTGCGTTCCTCGCCTCGCTCGCGTTTCCCCCTTTGCCCGCAGTCTGCGCATGCGCTGCGCCCCCTTTGCCCGCTGTCTGCGCCTGCGCTTCACCACAGTTGCCGCTGCCTGCGCATGCGCACTCCGCAGGTTTGACCCAAATGATGGCTCACATGAGTTATTCTAACCAGGGCTTCCCCGATAACCGCCCCCGGCCCCGCAATGTCTCCAGGGAGGAAGCCCTGCGGCTGGAAGGCTACAAACACGCTTGCCACGTGCTGTTTCATGCGCCCACCAGTGCCAAGCTGTTTGAGAGGGTCCCTATCAGACATGTTCTGCTGGTGAGATGGCTGGTAGCCTGGGTTATAGAGATAGTGGGCTGTCCTACTCCATCACATGGTCCATATCACAATGTCATAACATTAATATGACCATTATATAGTCTTATATCTGGTATGTAGCCACCCATGGAATTGGTAGCCCCCTTCTTGGCAAAATGCCTAACCTAGTAGCCCAATACAATATTTTTTTTGCCCCTAGTTTGCTTTAGTTTATGGCACCATGGCAACTAAATTTTAAGAGATTATTTGGGGAAAATCTAGTCTGGGAAGAGTAGGTAGCTTTTGCCTGGGCAGTAGGGTGTAAGGCCCTTCTGGGTGGCTAATTTCTGTACTCGGGGTGGGCAGTAAGCCTGATTTAGAGTCCACAGCCAAAAAATGTCACGTTGCGCAAAAAGGATGCAAAAGTTACACGTGGGCTCCATGCTTGGAAATTTTGTATTTAGAGTCTGGTTTTCTGTGTCACAAAATACGCGCCAGTAGTGTTAACTATGATTCGCTATGTCAGCTTGGTGTGGATTTTTAATGAAAATTATGTGGATCTGCCGGAAATGCCGCAGATTCCTTGAATGGAATTCGTTCGCGGTAGCAAAAAGAACGCAGAACTCAAATACAGGCCAACACAATTTTCTACAGTACAGTTCTGTAGGCAAATGCACAGATAGTTTGTTTGCTAGGGTACCTAGCCTTGTTATTGGCTCCCAAATCACCCGCTGTGTCCAACAAGTCGTTAGTCCAGTGTGATATTAGCCCAGTGTTCCCAGCAAGTGTATCCTAGCTACCAATTCTGACAAGTGTTTTTTTGCTCTAATTAGAAAACTCATTCAGTTGACACAAAAAAAAAAAAATGCAAAGAAACAGCTACATGGATTTTCCACGGAAATGATGCAGACCTTGCATCCAAAATGCACCACTCAGTGTGAATCTAAATCACATCTAAAGTTCACAAATGTATTACTACACAAATTTGAAGGTTTTTGTTATAAAATCTAAATCAGACCTATTTATCTTTTTTGCACAAAACCGTAGTCCACTCTTTATGTATATGGTCCTACTCAGGTGTTGCATACGATATGAGTTTACTAGATAGAGGTTTCTCCAGAAACCTCCATCAACGCCAGACTACGTGATTTTTTTTTTTTTTTTTTAATTACTGTGTTCTGTAGTGGTTGTAGTGACAGGAGTACCATGAGGGGTTGGAATCTACCCTGGTCACCCACACAGATATGCATTTTTAAATCTTGTTTTGGTTTTTGTGTTTTTATTAGAATTCATCTCCTCTTTTACATCTCTCTTTTCTTCTCCTTCATACTTGGTCTACCACAGATGATGATGCGGTTTGATGGACGTCTGGGATTCCCTGGAGGTTTTGTAGATGTTAAAGACTCTTCCCTGGAAGCCGGTTTGAACAGAGAGGTGGAAGAGGAGCTGGGGTGCTCGTCCAGTAAATTTGAGGTCACAGAGAAGGATTATAGAAGTGCACAGGTTCGAGAGTTTCCACAAAAATGTGTCACACATTTCTACATCAAGGAGTTGGAGCTGGAGGACATGGACAAGATTGAGTCTGAGTGTGTCAATGCCAAGGACCATGGAATAGAGGTGGGTAGCACTAAACCACCTTAAAGTAGGTACCATAGATCTTATCTAGGCTGTGAAACAGGCATCTGCAGTACAAACACCAACAATATTTAATTTTATGGCATGTCTGGATGTGGCAGTGGGGGTGATCACACTGCACGTTAAAAATCATGATGCATAGTCTGGCGGTCACTGTGGCTTCTCAGGGTATAACCATGAAATACACTTTCTGGCCATCCTGAGATTATCTGGATTTACATTCATTGTCGGCAGTTGCTGTTTGTTCCTGTCCGCATTAATATAAAGGGTTACTACAACCACCATGATTACTTCTGCACCCTTGGTCCAACAATGCTATGAGAAGTGTTTGATTGGACCTCGGACGAAGAAGCAATGACACAGATGTAGAAGGAGAGAGCTTCAAGGAGAACTTGGTTCTAGCGTTAGATTGACATTAAATTTATGCCTTTCTTTTGGAGTTTTTATTGGAAAGGGGGGGGGGGGGAACCCAGAGAACAAACTGGAGGCCACGAAAGAAACCACGTGACCGACATGAGTTGCACTATTTTCCCCTAATACATGTTTCACCATTGTGTAGCTTAAATTACATTTTGATATTTTTAGGATAGTTAGTGATGGCGTTGGTGCTGGTTGTAGTCCAAGATTTATGGGGAGATGCTTAGTGCTAGGGCAACACTAGTGCATTCTGTGTGCTGCCTGAGAATACTTGTAGTAAGTGACTGGTAGTTGAATTAAGAAGGTGGCAGCTGCCTCAATGGAATGTAACATATATGTTACAGTTCTACATGAGATTAGATTCAATGAACTGTACAGAGGTTAACCGGCATTAAAGGATTACTCGAACGCTTTGTCTAACATCCTTTATTTTTGCTTGAATTTAATTATTAATCAATTTCCCCCAAAAAAACAGTTCACTTATATTCCATCCAGCATGTGGTCATATGCTCTCTAGTCTCGTCCACCACCTGTCGTTACATCCCGTCAGTTTCCCCATCCGATGTCCAATCAGATACTTCTCATAGAAGGTCATTGGTGGACCTTGGGCTCATGTGCTGGTCAAGGGGTTGGACATAGGGAGAGGGCAAAAAAAAAAAGCACTATTTATGTAGGGTGATGGGGAGGACTTGCATATGGGAGGAAGGTTAAAGGGGAGGACGAAAAAGAACCCTCTCCCACCCCCCAAAACACAGTTGAAAGAGCAACGAGGTACACTGGGAGGGCTCGCAGGAGGGACGCATTTTACAGTAAACATTTAGTTGGACTGTCCAACAGGCTTCTACTTGCAGGGTCATCACAACGCTGCAGGTGAATGAACTGATACTTTGCCAACCGTGCTAGAAGCACATTTTGCAAAGAACTCACATTAGTTGGTCCTGAGTTCTGGTCTGACCAAGTCACGTGTGCCGGAGTTGTAACTACATCCTGGCACAAAATCACAGCTTTCTTTGTATAGGCAACATTGGAAGCAGTAAGCACTTAAATTAGAAGTGGTCAAGGAGGTAGGAGTAACCCTTTAATCCCCATTTATTACAGGGAATAATTGCATTGATCAAGTCACGATCTGTTCAGTTTGGGGGGGAGGAGGAGAAAGTAGGCAGAATTCACAAATATGTATTGGAATTTAATTTTTAATTCAGCACCTTTCACTGTTTAGTGAATAACCCCAAGGTTTAAGGAATGACAGGGCTGTAAATTTAGGGGACTTCAATAGGAACTTAGCCAGGAAGTGGAATCCTTGTTGGAGCAGAATCTAATCTAGATCTATAGCATGCTCCTCCAGCTTTTTGAGAGTTTCTCAATTATCTCTTCGTTCCCTTTACATTTTACCAATAGCTGCTTATCTCTGCCAACTCTTTTTTAGCCATCACCTCCAAATTTCCCCTGCTACCTCTTGTCTCAAATTCCTATTGTATCCTTTAGATTGTAAGCTCACAGGCTATCTAGCTAGGCACTTTGAATAAAAGAGCTTCAATGGCTAGATATCTGCTTACAGGCAATGCTCTTTCTACCTCTTGGATTTGTCTGTGTATATTGTACGTTCTCCACTAATTGTACAGCACTGTGGAATATGTTGTCGCTTTATAAATAGTAAAATATAAATAATAAATGGATCCTGGAAACTGGTGATTCTGGAAACCCAGAACTCTGCATCACATCCTGGAGATACCGTAAGCAGAGACGTGTAAAGCAAGGACACTAATCCACTGAACTCTAACGGCAGGATTAAGCCAGTCCTCTAGGAAATTGAGCAGTTGTAAACAATACTAAACGGAAAGTGTCTTAATCTTCCCGGCAAATAGATAAATATCTGACTGAAGCAAGTGTAGGTGAGAGTAGTATCCAAGCCATTACTGTCTAGCCTAAATTGAGTTTCACTCATACTAATACTCATAATCTCAACACCATACTACTTAATTATGGATAGATACCCAGCGCACGCGACCATAGACAGGACCTCCCCCGCCCCTCCCCTTTTTTCATAAACCAGGTGTCCACGGGGGCGGTCAGGACTCTTACTCTAACACATAGCTTCAGCACACGCCACAACCACAGTGACTGTGATAGACGCCCCAGTACCCTTCTGGCACAGAACAGCCGACAGATCAGTTCATTCTGAAAGGGTCTAACCCTTCACCACCTGCCTCGCATTGATCCCGCCTGTAGCAGCCCCGACACTATATTTTCACTGGGCCAATCTCCACACTGCAATGGGTCCATAACACAGCGGCTACAGCTCCAATGCAGGGCGCAGCAGATCAGCTCTCCATGGGAAAAACGCGCCCAAAGATAGCACCTGAGTTGTAGTCAATCCAAGTGCGTCCAACCACCTCATATGCCCATGATGTAAGATCACACGCACACACTGAGCTTTCTCATTATTTATACATGTCTCTTAAATCTAATGCACATGCTCTCTATAGGACCTTACAGATTGATGTATCACACGTGCATAGTTTACAGTTACTTGTACTTGAACAGAAACTAAAAATATGAGGCAAATGACTATAAGAGCATATACTTTTTGACTGCATCCTCTGTTTATGAACCAAAGCTCCCACTGTGTATTGGGATGTTGTACACAAGCTCCCACTGTTTATTGGGATGTTGTACACATCTTAAATGCTTTGAAAAATAAAGAATTAAAAAAACTAAACAAAACAGAATGACCCCAACTGTGCCGATAACTGGGGTCATCTAATACAGGCAGACACTATAAATCTTTGAACATTGTATCAACTGCATCCTGGGTAACCATTTATTGTGGCAATATTCCAATGACATTGGGACTAATGTATTGAAACATATGTTATACACAGTCGACGGTTTTTACTTTATTTCTTAAAGACGTATTCCACACACCATAACTACTCCTGGTAATCTATTTGATTTTATCTAATAACTTTTTTTTTTTTTCTGCAAACATCTGATGGAGTCTGGAAAAGGCTGTCTGCACTAGCACTCTCTAGTGGCTATTCAGGAGAATGCAAGAATAATAGTGGTTATTTCTCTAAATTGGCAATTGTGAAGAATGGACAAGGAAATTGCAAATTTTAGTTCAAGTCTCATGGCACTCTTCCCTCTTCAGTTGGTTTGGCATGCTCTATGTTGTAACATTGTTGCTTTTATATATGCCTAACTATTTGTCCCATTCTCATTGCATTCTCATGTCTACAACTGAGGTGGTGCATCACAAGGAGGAGCTATGCTTGTAATGTGCAATAAACAAATGCATTAAACAAGTTCCTACCTCCTCTCACATGCTAACTAGACCACCTGTCTTTGTCCTTGCTGTAAAACTAATGGTTTTAAAGACTTGCTTTCTGCTTAAGATGTAAGTTGTTTTGTTTTTGTTTCAGTGGATTACATTTTTACACCTGTCTTTTTTCTAGGTTATGGGCCTTGTACGTGTTCCTCTCTACACCCTGCGTGATGGAATGGGAGGCCTTCCTGCATTCTTGTGTAATAACTTTATTGGAAACTCTAAGAGTCAACTCTTATACGCCATTCGTAGCTTGCATCTGCTGCGGGAGGACCAGATCCAAGAGGCCTTGCGGGCCTGCCACGGTTCTCAGTACTGATCTTTAGTATTGGGTCTTATACAGATGTAAAGAAGACGGATTTCCCTTTAACAAAATATGCCCATGGCCATTTCATTAATTGAACTGCAAGGGCTCACTGGTGGAACACTGCTTAAATTTGATCTCCTTGTCCTCTCCCTACCATGCAGCCACTTTATATGTAATCACTTGCTCTTTAAATTCAAGACACTTAATGGCTTTCATATCACTGGCACACAAAATGAGCAGTCTAGGCACTATAACCACTTCACGCAACGTAGGGTGCCATTTGGCTATAGCTTCATCAAAAATAGGGAACCCTGAGGCATCCTTGGCCTATCCCCCTGCTCAAGTATTACCATTGTGGAAATGTAATATTCTCATTAGCAGTGTCAATTTTGACAATAGTTTAAAGACATTCATTGGCTGAGTGCATCTCCTGACCCATTTAGCCAATGAATGGCTTTAAATTATGGATAAACCGATATTGGTAATGGACATTTCCAATTGACCATAGCTGAGTTAGGGGTTTTGGTCTCAGGTGCCTCTGTGACACATTGTTTGTTAAACAGTCGGTGCCTGCATTGGCTTGTAGTGGTTATGGTGCCTTTAAGGCGATACAGCCTATGACTGTTTATAGCACCGCAGATGTTTTTCACCTATATTTCCCACCCTGATCAGTACACCTTCTTAGTTTTTATTGGAAATGTAGTTCTTAAACATCTTGGGTTCCAAGGGTAGCCATCCCTGATATTTCGGAAATGTTTAATCCGAATCTAAGAGAATTGTTTATTTAACTATTGTGTGCTGCCTATTTGTTTGTTAAAGCGGGCATGTCCTATTTGTTTTCTTTTGGTTTTCCTTTCATTCTGCTCCATATATCTAAATCGGTTATTGTTCCTCACGCCACACTTGCCTTTTTTTTTTTTCCTCTGTCCATGTTGTCTACTCTTTGCCCTCTGTATGGTTTGTTTTGCTGTTGAATTGTAGGTAGATCTGATAGATAACTGAGACAGTCAAGCTTTAAGCTCCATCCACCAACTACTGTACTTAACATTAACTTAAAGGGACAGGCCCCCAGAAAACTTCCTCTCAGTGAATTGGTCTGAGTGCCATGTCCCCCCTTTTATCCCTGCAGCTGCAAACATTGCTGTTCTACAGGTTTTACAGGAACCGTAATGTTTTCGTTGCAGGGTTAACCTGCCTCTAGTGGCTGTCATACATGGAACAATGTAGCAGCAGATTTGATTAAGTTTATTTTTGGTGACAGAGCCACTTTAAGAACTTACATTTTTTTTTTCTTAAAGTTGTCAACCTCCTAAACATGGGGTCTCAACCCCAATGGGTGCAAATATAGGTTGTTACTATTCCACAAGGGGCCATAAGCCTAGGAGGAAGCTATTGCACTACTGTTGATACTCGTAACGTGACATGGATAAAAAAGATTGATTGCAGTTCAAATTGACAAGTACTGAGATTTGACTACCCTTGTACTATGATATGATAAACCTTTTTTATATGTCAATGTAACTCGTGATATTTCTTAATGCACCTTCAAAATAAAGAATTACAAAAAAAAAAGTGGTCAACCTCCAACCTTTAAAATAAGCCACACATGCAACCTAAAACGACATTTAGAAATAAGTTTATATTATACGTTTTGTTTTCATGCAGTGACATGTGAAGAACTTGCATATTATTACTTTATTTTCCAGTATTGTGCCAGTAATTCAAATGTAATACTATTTTGTATGTATTGCTTTGTGTACATTGAGTGGATCATGTGATGAATTCTTCATCCTTATCGATTAAAGGTGTCTTGTTTTTTATTTAAGATATTACTTTCAGAAACATGACTTGTTAATCTTCACTGTGAAATAATATAATCTGGCCGATCGGTGGTTAAAATGTACCAGTCCGTAATGAGAACAAAATAAATGGGGTGGATGAAATCACACTTACTGTATTTATTTGTGAAACTAGTGTGACTAATGAATATGCCTATTTGGAATGAATTTCAAGTCATAGTTCTAAATAACTATATTTTTATCCTACATGTTTTGCGGTGTCAGATAAGAACTATCTGGTCCAACTAGTCTGCCCTACAAAAAATCTCACGCCACTTTACGTATGGGTGGATAATTTAAATAAAATCCATCATAGTTTGTGAGTGTGTGTGTGTCATTGAGTGTGTGATTAGGCCCCCAGCCCCCCTCCAATCACTTGTGAAAGGTGTTTGTTTTTACTCACCTTTTTTTCCTAACACAGTGTAGGTATCGATGCGGCTGGCCCCATCTCCATGGCGGAGATCATCAGTCTTGACAATCTCAGCCAAACCTATGCATCCCTAAGTAGAACATTAAAGGGACACTCCAGCAGGGCCAGACTGGGGATTCCAAAGCAGCCCTGGAAAAAAAATCTATGCCAGCCCCATAAGTCATTGCGCCATATATTGTTGCGTGTAATATGTAAGGCTATGTCTTGCCACCCTAGATGACTGATATATATATATATTGCTTTTTCCAATATAAAATATTGGTCCTTTCAGAGTAAAATTTTTAATTATACAATAAGCATACTCACATGCAGACACAGACAATCTCACTGACACAAGCTGATTGATACACAGCCTCATAGACAAACAATCTCACTGATATACATAAGGTCATTGACATAAAAACACAAGCTCACTCAGTAGCAGGCACGCACACGCGCGCGCACATACACACGCACACACACACAGCTTAATGTAGTGGTTCTGGTGTCTATAGCCTGTTCCTGCAGGCTTTTCAATGTAAACACTGACTTTTTAGAGACAGACACTCAGACGGTCACTAGAGGTGCTTCCTGTGTCAGTGTGGATTGGCTGAGATCATCAAGCTTGATGATCTCAGCCATAGAGGCAGGGCCAGTCGAGGGGAGACCAGCACGACGTGGGGGGGAAAAAGGTGAGTATAAACACACAGACCGTGACACAGACAGACACACACCATGACAGACACACACACATACCATGACATAAACACACCATAACACAGACAGACTGTGACACAAACACACTGTGACACACACATTACATGACACAGACAGACACACACACCATGACACAAAGACACCACAACACAGAGAGACGTGACACAGACACACACACACACCATGACACAGACACACACATACCATGACACAGAGAGACACACCATGACAGAGACACACACACACACACACACACACAATGACACAGACACACACACCATGACAGACACACACACACCATGACACAGACAGACACACACCATGACACAGACACACACACCATGACAGACAGAGACACACACAATGACACAGACACACATACACTCACACTGACACACATAATTTCTACCTTTGTGCTGGCGGCCGCATGGGGGAGCTGAGTCTTCTGGCGGCCGCAGAGGGAGCTCCCTTGGCAGCCGCAGGGGGAGCTGGCTGTTCTTGCGGCTGCAGAGAGAGCTCTTCTGGCGGCCGCAGGGGGAGATGGCTGTTCTGTCTCTGCTCCCCCTCCCCAGCGCGCCGCTTAATGAGACCGGGGCCGGAATATGATGTAATATTCCGGCCCCGGTCTCATTAAGCGGCGCGCTAGGAGGGGGAGCAGAGACAGAACTGCCAGCTCTCCCTGCGGCCACCAGAAGAGCTCTCTCTGCGGCCGCAGGTGCCGACGGCCGCCGGGAAATTTCCCGGTATCCCGGTGGGCCAGTCCGGCCCTGCACTCCAGCCACCCAGACCACTTGGAGTCCAGGGCCGGAGTGGTCTGGGTGCCAACTCCCACCACCCTTAACCCTGCAAGTGTAACTGATGGACAGCCACTAGAGGAGGACTTAACCCTGCAAGGTAAGTATTGCAGTTTATAAAAACGTTTTAAACGATGCTGGACATCCTCAAGCTATGCATGAGGACCTCTAGTGTCGCTGGGATCCCCGTAGGAAAGCATTGAATAATGCTTTCCTATGGGGAGGTCTAATGTGCGCATGGCCATTTCCGCGCATGCACATTAGGTCTCCCCTGTCAGCAGGGGAGGAGCATGGGCGGAGTCTGACCTAGCACTGAGGGACATCGGCGCTAGATTCAGGTAAGTCACTGAAGGGGTTCTAACCCCTGGGATGGGGGGTGGGAGGAAGAGGGGCACTGCAGGGTCCTGCAGTGCCAGGAAAAAAGATATGTTTTCCTGGCACAGGAGAGTCCCTTTAAGTGTCTTCAAGCAACATTGACCCAGGAAGCACCTCTAGATGCCATCTGAATGACTTTCTCTAGAGGTGTTACTAGGCAGTGTTTACATTAAAAAGCTTGCAGGGCAGGCTATAGACTTCATAATAACTACATTAAAGGACCACTATAGTGCCAGGAAAACATACTCGTTTTCCTGGCACTATAGTGACCTGTGGGTGCCCCCACCCTCATGGTCCCCCTCCCGCCAGGCTCTGGGGAGAAGAAAGGGGTTAAAACTTACCTTTTTCCAGCGCTGGGCGGGGAGCTCTCCTCCTCCGATCCTCCTCCGTTCCTTCCCGTCGGCTGAATGCGCACGCGCAGCAAGAGCTGTGCGCGCATTCAGCCGGTCGCATAGGAAAGCATTAGCATGTGTAACATGTCATGATTCCCTTTTATTCCATAAGTTTGGTCCTTAAGGGGTTAAGAATTGTAATTCTGATGTTTAAAAACCTGGCTCCTGACTTTTTTTTAGCTCCTAGATTTGGTTCTGTAATACACGCATGTGTATATGTGCAAAATACTCAAAAGTTTGTTGGATTTGTTTTAATCCGTGTCCTCACTAACCTACACACACTTTGTTTGACACACAATCACTGACCCACACACTGTCTATGGACACACCTAACCACAAACACACACACTGACCCATACACACTCCATACTCCCACCCAGACAAACTAACACACACTGTACCATTTACACACAAACTACAGGAGATACTCGAAAAATTAGAATATCGTGCAAAAGTTCATTTATTTCAGTAATGCAACATAAAAGGGGAAACTTATATATGAGATAGACCCATTACATGCAAAGCAAGATAGTTCAAGCTGTGATTTGTCATAAATGCGATGATTATGGCTTACAGATCATGAAAACCCCAAATCCACAATCTCAGTAAATTTGAATATTGTGAAAAGGTGCAATATTCTAGGCTCACAGTGTCCCACTCTAATCAGCTAAGTAAGCCATAACACCTGCAAAGGGTTTCTGATCCTTTAAATGGTCTCTCAGTCTGGTTCAGTAGGAATAACAATCATGGGGAAGACAGTTGACAGAAAACCATCATTGACACCCTCCATAAGGAGGGAAAGCCTCAAAAGGTAATTGCGAAGGAAGTTGGATGTTCCCAAAATGCCGTATCAAAGCACATTAATAGAAAGTTATGTGGAAGGGAAAAGTGTGGGAGAAAAAGGTGCACAAGCAGCAGGGATGACCGCAGCCTAGAGAGAATTGTCAGTAAAAAGGCCATTCAAAAGTGTTGGGGACTTTCACAAGGAGTGGACTGAGGCAGGAGTCAGTGCATCAAGAGCCACCACACACAGACGGATCCTGGACATGGGCTTCAGATGTCGTATTCCTCTTGTCAAGCCGCTCCTGAACAACAAACAACGCCAGAAGCATCTTACCTGGGCTAAAGAAAAACAGACCTGGTCTGTTGCTCAGTGGTCCAAAGTCTTCTTTTCTGATGAGAGCAACTTTTGCATCTCATTTGGAAACCAAGGACCCAGAGTCTGGAGGAAGAATGGAGAGGCACACACTGCAAGATGCTTGAAGTCCAGTGTGAAGTTTCCACAGTCTGTGTTGATTTGGGGAGCCATGTCATCTGCTGGTGTTGGTCCATTGTGCTTTATTAAGTCCAGGGTCAACGCAGCCGTCTACCAGGAGATTTTGAAGCACTTCATGCTTCCTTCTGCAGCCAAGCTTTATGGGGATGCTGAACAACAAGGAGGGAAGACAGGAGAAAGTCTTAATTTTGATACATAATTGACACAAGCTATATCAGTAGCAAGTTGATACATTTCCTTAGTATACTACTTTGTTACAGGCAGTGCAACTGTTACCACTAGAGAATTTACAACTACAGTTATTTTAACTATCTGCACTAATTTGTTTGTTTACCTCTTTTATAATTATTTCTATTAAAAGTTTCACTTTCACTTTGGAGTGATCCCCCTGAGTCCTTACAATCCTAGTTAACCCTTCCTATCACAAGGTAACTACCACTCTGCAGGACATTTTATCATTTATCCTGTCCTTTCTCCTGTCTTCCCTCCTTGTTGTAGTGCATTTTATTGTACTAGGGGTTAACCCCCGGTCCGCCCCGGGTGCCAGCAGGGTGGAGGGTGCCTTGGGAAGGGGCGCCGGCCCCCCTCCTGCTGCAGCCGCCCGAGCGCTCTGCAGAGAGCCTCAGGCGGCTGCAGCTTTGCCCGGGCGGTGCGTCCATGAGGGCGGACCGCAGCGCCCGGGCGCAGCCTGAGGAGAGGGGCTGACAGGAGGGAAGCGCTCAGCGCTCCCTCCTGTCACTCCCTCTCTGTAGCGTGGCCGTGCCCTGTATAGTCCGCGGGTACAGGGAGCATCTGTCTCCTGTACCCGGCCGGACTAACAGGAAGTGCACACTGTTAGTCGGCGGCCGGGTACAGGAAACAAAAGCTCCCTGTACCCTTGGACTATACTGGCTCGGCACGCCTACAACTGAGTAATGGGGGGTGGGATAAGGAGAGGTGTGTGGGGGGGTGGAATAGGAGAGGTGGGGGAATAAGGAGGTGGGGGGTTGAATAAGGAGAGATGGGGGGTAATAAGGAGAGATGGGGGGGGAATAGGAGATGGGGGTGGTAATAAGGAGAGATGGGGTGGAATAAGGAGATGGGGAATAGGAGAGATTGGGGTAATAAGGGAGATGGGGTGGAATAAGGAGGATGGGGGGTATGGGAGAGAGATGGAGAGATGGAGGGGGGAAGGAAATTGGCGAGGGGGGATAAAGAAATAAATTGGGAGGAGGGAAGGAAATTGGAGGGGGGGATAAAGAAAGATTGGGAGAGGGGAATAAGGAAAAATTGGGAGGGGGTAGAGAGAAGGAAATTGGAGGGGGGGAGAGATTGACATTCATCACACAGAAAAACACACAATGCATTACACACACTGCATTACACACACAGACACACATACACAAGCAATGCAACCGTTACACACAATGCATTCATTACACACACTCAAGGCACCCCTTACACACACTCAATGCATCTCGTACATACACAGAAACACACCTTGCAGCCCTTACACATACAAACACAGATTCACACAATGCATTCCTTACACACATATCAGGACATCCCCTACACACTCCACCCCCTGTGAACAAACTCATTGGTGGAACATGAAGGTGGACCCTGGGACCCAGACCTTGAGCTGTGTAAAGGGCCCCAAAAAAATGGAGCTGCTTCCCGTTCTCCCAGAACATTGATTTTTGTGACCACAGTTACAAACCGCCTCCAGAGAGCCTGTTCTGCACCAGACCAGTGGAGCCAGACTGCAGCTAGAGCCCATCATCATCCTCATCTGGTTGTAAGTAGGCAATCTAGTATATTATTCGTGGCACTAATCTCTAATTTACCTCACATTAAAGAAACACTATAGTCCCCAGAACCACTTCAGCTTAATGTAGTGGTTCTGGTGTCTATAGCCTGTTCCTGCAGGCCTTTTAATGTAAACACGGCAGCACTGCAGCACTGGCGTTAGATAACATGGCAAATCATATGGGTGGGGTATTGTGATGTCACATGGGGGGGCGGCAAACTTTACCTTTGCCTAGGGCGGCAAAAATCCTTGCACCGGCCCTGGCTGGAGGGCGCTGTGTGAGCTGTGGCCGCAAAGTGCCCCATGGTAGTTAGGGTGCCGTGCGGCCAGTACAGCTCACACAAGCAAACAGCTGATAAACTGTCGGCACGGAGGAAAAGTGGGGCGGAGCTAAGCAAAATCAGAGGCGGGGCCAAACTGGCACTGGGGGCGGGGCTTGGGGCAAGGGGGTGCCAAGCACAGGACCCGCACCGGGTGCCAAATGCTCTAGGTACGCCCCTGCTCCACAGGTAAATCCCGGACGGATAAATGAATTGGACGCAGATTAAAAGGCATTTGATTAGTTTATCCCAGCTGAAAAGTATTTTTGCACCAGTCTACAATATCTGTGTAAGGTTTATTTCTAGGTCAATAAGAATATCACCATTTAGGTGGATAATATTAGCATCTACTTATCTGAAAAATTAGCATGATGAAGATTTCCTTTGAGATAAAAATCTCTCTCCTACATGTTCTATTGTCTCATCGTCCAATATCCAGGTTCTGTCTCAAATACCTCGACTTCCAACTGTATGCCCTTCATTTTGTGTTTTTATAATTTTATTGGATTTTACCAAGATAATTCCAACGGTAATCATGTACACAGAATTTGCAATACACATCTTACAATGTGTTGGAATATAAGTACTTAAGGAAAATAAAGTAAAGCATAACATTCTCTTTCGTAGTAAATTATTTGTTGTACATCTCAAACTTAAAGGGACACTATAGTCAGCAAAACAGCTTTAACTTAATGAAGTTGTTTTTGTGTATAGACCATGCCCCTGCAGTCTCATTGCTCAATTCTCTGCCATTTAGTGGTTAAATCACTTTTGTCACACCTCCCTGCTTGTGTCTTCCTAAATACTTCCTGTAATGTGTCATCTAATGTTTACACTTCCTTTATTGTACAATCTGTTTAATTAAACATTGCTTCTCCCTTGCTATACCCTGCAGGAACCTCCTTTATGTAATTAAAGTTTAATTTACAAAGCAAGAGATAAACTTTTAAAGTAAGCTACAACTGATTCAAATAAATAAATAATTAAATAAATAAAAACTTGTTTTCATGCAGGATGTGTCACAGCCATTGGAGGTGTGATAGTGCTGCATAAACAGAAATAAAGTGATTTAACCCCTTAAGGACACATGACATGTGTGACATGTCATGATTCCCTTTTATTCCAGAAGTTTGGTCCTTAAGGGGTTAAATCATTAATGGCAGTGAAACTTAAGAAGCATGATCTATACCAGGGATAGGCAACCTTCGGGACTCCAGATGTTGTGGACTACATCCCCCATAATGTTCTTACACCCCTAATGCTGACAAAGCATCATGGGAGGTGTAGTCCAAAACATCTGGAGTGCCGAAGGTTGCCTATGCCTGCTCTATACCATGGGTGGACAAACTTCTCTGTAGGAGCCCTATGTTAAAATTTAGAAATATTCAAGAGACACAATTACGTTTATTGGAGTATTCAACAGATCCAAATATTTAAATTATAATTTTTCTTAATATGATTTATTAATTATACAAAAAAAGAACTAAATTAATAAGTAAGAACAAAACCAATAAAAAAAATTTTTTTTGTCAATCCTTCTTTTACTGAGATGTGACAAATGCTCCTCGCCCTGGACGTTTGCCACAAATTCATGGAGTGTAGAGTGTATTAGCTGGCCTCTTGCGTACCGACTATGGACCATATACAAAGACCCTGTTTGGAAGTTAAATCTCCCCAACCGCCATGAGTGGCTTGTCCTGGGTGCCCCTGGTTCGGCACTTTCCCTTCATGTGAATGGAACTGAAAACTGGCTCTCTGGCGGCCGTTTGCGTGAATAAAACCCACAAATAGTCCCAGAGGCACTTAGCTGCGACCACTATGGAACTAATTTCGGCATGAGGACTTTGTGGGTTCCTGGTCTCCTCAGCAGGACTTAGCCGCGAATGTTATAGAACTGTTTTTTGTGTGAGGTGACCGTGCGGTTCCAGGACAACTTGGTTTGCGGTTTTAAACCACTTTGAAATCCGCCAGGAGAGTGCTTTCTAGAGAGAAGGTATCTGAGACTAAGGGGAACAAATGCTACCTAAGAGCCAGGCGGAGCACCCCGTATTTCGTCCACCGGAGCTCCCAAAAGTTGACCGGCAAAGGCATTAAACACCCTGGAACTGTTTTGGGCAAAGGACCATGTGTGCGGCCGGTCAGAACTTTAACATGGTGGCGTTTCTCCTACACTACATGGATCTGAGTTATATTTGGAGAACATGGGTGCTCAGATCAGGGCTATCTAACAATATAATATTTGTGGGGGTTCCTCTATGTCTTATATGTGTTTTTATGTATTTCTAATATTTTATGTTTTTATGCTCAGTCATGCTGACTAAGAAATCCATGGGCGTGTTGTGGGAGTGTTTGACTGTATCCCTTATGTGTATAAAAGCAGGCGATCTGGCCAGAATAATTTATTCCTGTTGTACCCTTCATCAAGTCTAGACTGATGTTTGGGTAGCTCAGAGCTTTAATCACTGCTTCACTTGGGATTTGCGAAAACTACAGTGGATATACTATGTGTCTCATTCCCCTAGCCCCCCATGTGTCTCATTCCGCCAGCTCCCCTCCATGTGTCTCATTCCCCTAGCCCCCCATGTGTCTCATTCCGCCATCTCCTCCCATGTCTCATTCCCCTGGCCTCCCCATGTGTCTTTTTCCCCTAGCCCCCATGTGTCTCATTCTGCCAGATCCCCTCCATGTGTCCCATTCCCCTAGCCCCCCATGTGTCTCATTCCCCTAGCCCTCCATGTGTTTCATTCCACAAGCTCCCCCATGTGCCTCATTCCGCCAGCTCCCCCCATGTGTCTAATTCCGCCAGCTCTTCCCATGTCTCATTCCCCTAGCTCCCACATGTGTTTAATTCTGCCAGCTCCCTCATGTGTCTCATTCCCCTGCCCCCCCATGTGTCTCATTCCGCCAGCTCCCCCTATGTGCCTCATTCCACAAACTCCCCCATGTGCTTCATTCCCCTAGCTCCCCATGTGTCTCATTCCGACAGCTCTCCCATGTGCCTCATTCCCCTTTCCCCCATGTGTCTCATTCTGCCAGCTCTCTATCCATGTGTCTCATTCCACCAGCTCCTCCCATGTCTCATTCCATCAGCTCCCCCCTTGTGTCTCATTCTGTCAGCTCCCTCCC